GGGTAAATGAAACATTTTTTTTTCAAAATGGACTACCGATTATGGTTAGGTATTAATAACCTATGTAGATAATGAAATTTAAAAAAAAATCTTATTTTATTTATTTGTTATCTACATTGGTTAAGGAACTGATGTAGAATGTTTGATATCTGCACCAGCTTAATAACTAGTGTAGATATTGATAGGTTTTCTACACTAGTTGCAAAACTGGCTTAGATAAGCTCTTTTAACCTGTGTAGATTAGTTCGTTCGTATTGATACAAGTTATAAACCCTGAATAGGCCACACATATGGCCTACTTCCACCCCTTGAGGAAACTCTTCCTAAATTTAAACCATGAGATGTATTATGTAAATATTTGAAAGTCTGTCTTTATAAAAAAAACTAGACTAGATCCCATGTAAAACACAAGTTGATTTTAAAAAATTGTAAGAAGTTATATAGATAATAACATTTACAAAATTTCAATTTAAGTAATGATGTGGTATTGCTAGACAAAATAAGGTTTTTGTTTATATGTATATATATATTCTCAAATTTAAGGTTCAAAAAATGAATGAACATTATTTTTTAAAAATTAAATGTTTTTTGTTAATGAATAATAGATATTCTAGTTATGACTCATGTTATATTGTGGATGTAATTAATAATATCTCTAATGGTTAATATTATTAAAGAATTTTTATTTATATATATTGGGTTAGAAAATGTATGTTATTGAAATCATTTCAAATAACTTCTTAACTAATATTAATATTATAACAGGAGCCACATATTTTCAAATCCTTTGTGCTTCATTAGAGAACCTTGAAAATTAGTCATTATTGAATCCCATGCATTGCACAATTTAAGACATCATATAAAAGTATTCTCTTCAGTCTAAAATATAAGAATTTTTCTTAGCTAATTTTGGTACAAAATATAAACAACATAGTATATATAAAAAAATTTGCTTATATTACCCCCTTGTATTTATTAACCTAGATATTTTTATAAAGTTATCTCTCAACCATCACGAAGTACATTGGTAATTGAAAATAAAGACAAAAAGAAAAAACAATATACATTTTCATGAGAATGGGGATTTTATTTGCATGCAAATTTTTTCTAAAAACTGCTTTTATTTTGGACCAAAGGGAGTATGATAAATTGTGAATAACATCTTTAAAAATCCAATGAAAATAATGAATTTGGTATAATACAATTGAAAGTCATAATACAGTCATCTAATTTTAAAAATATCAACTATTTGTATTATATGATTTTAATCTTATAAATATGTAAACAACATTTAAATCATTTGGAATATGCATTATTCAGTAATTTCTGAGAACGCTTAAAGTCAAGCTTAATTAAAAATAAATGAAAACATAAGTAGAAAAGGAAATATTACAACAAACTTATTTTGGTATATGAAACATTAATTAGAGTTAAGCCAATGTGTTGCATGATCTGCACATCATACAAACGATCTATGCATATGAAACAAGAAAATATTTAAAAATTTCAATGAAAAGAAAGACGATGTTATGTTAATTCCTGTGTATTGCATGGGTTCAACAACAAAATATTTTCAACACGACATTTTTGTCAAACATCAATACTCTTTCTGACTGAAGTATGTGGATGAACCGAAAGTCCTCTCAGTGACAATGGCCTACTAAACTCTTCCACCCGGACAGCCCAGCTCTCCACCATTGGCAACAAACTCATTTAAGAGTAATGATTAATCAATGATTGATTAAGGCATATAAAAAAGTAGAGTTAAAAATCATTCATATAAGAAATTTGAATCTTGAAGATAGAGTAATGAGAGACACTGAAGATATTGGGATTTGGGAAACAAAAGCTTCACAGGACTCAAGAACATCTCTTGTCATAGATGCCTCAGGGAAAAAAAACTGAAATAGAATTTAATGCTATTGTGAAAAGATGAAAATTCAACTGAAATAAATTGAAAATGAAAAAATAAGTTAAATTCAGTTAGTCAATAAAAAAGTATTTAATTAAATCAACTAATAATGAGATATTAATATTAATATTAAACTAAAGTCCATCAACCAATTAGAGGTAAGCTTTTCTGACCAATCAAGTTGATTCTGCAATATTTGTATATTGCAGTTGATGATTGATAGATAGAAAAAATGATAATTAAATCTCAAAAGATTGAAATAACGATATTTAGATCGAGATTGAAAAAAATTTTAAAATGAATTGAAAATACCAATTCAGAAAAATTGCAATTTTAGAAGTTTCAAATGTAGAGAAGGTATATTTGAATTTCAAATGTAATTCAAATCATAGCTGGGATTCATGTTCGTAATTTACAAAAGTGCCACTCTCTCGTGCTTATAAATAATGTATCATGGCCACAAGCCGTATATTTATTGGAAGAGGATTACTACAACACCACCCCAGCAAGAAGAAGCACACAACATTAATGGCTTCTCATCACACCACCATCTATCACCAATCCAACCACTCTCGTCCTGCTTTTTCTTCTTCAACTCGCTATGTTTTTTTTTCCCCCACCCTTCTCCCATTAATTCCCTCCCCATTCATCATCCCTCTAACACGACCTTTCATGGTACGATCATCTCTGGAAGAAATATATATATATATATATATATATAAAGCATTTATGCTCCAATACAAAAGCTTACATAGTATTATTGCTTATGTTATGTTGTTATAGGGGTTTCGCAGTTGAAGGCTACAGGAATTTCAAAATATTTGCCAAGATTACTAAGAGGAATTCCTAACTCACCAGTACGTGTAATGCTCTTTTAATGTTGACATTCTTAGAATAGTAAAGTTTAGATTTTCTAATGTTAATCTTCTATCTTGAAGCACTACAAAAGTTTGAAAGACAATGTTAAATGATTTGTGCTTGAGAAAGAAATATCTCTGCAAAAAGCTATAGATTATCAACAAAAAATAAGTTAGAAATAGGAGGCCCATTAGATATTAGTCTAATTAGTTTCCATTCATTTTTTAGGAATTCTACTAAGAATGCAATTACTTAATCGTTCAAAAAAAAAAGAATAAAAAGATAAGGAGAAAGAGGATCCCTCTAACAAATGCCACGAGAAGGTGTAAATTCTTTTTATGGTTCTCCATTCCATAGTACTCTCATAATGAAGTGGAGATGACCACTTGAATTAATTTCCTAAAGTGACTATTTATCTCAATGAAGTTAAGAGTATCGTCAATAACATTACAACATAGTCTGTCAAAGGCTTTTTCAAGATCCACCATAAGTGTCATAAAGCCTTTTTTGCTTGTTTTATTTCTTATGGAGTGAATAATTTCTTGAGCAATAACAATATTGTCACTGCTCTATCGCCCGTATATGAAGCTACTTTGATTATCACTAATTAAGTGATTCATACAAACACACAATCAAGTGCAGAGAATTTGATGATAAATAGCATGGAAGTCTTTCATGCAAGTAGAGTGATCAATCTTAGGAATTTGAGTGATGTAAGTATTTCTTTTTGGAAGAAATACTGTCAATTTTTTCCTTGTTCCAATTAGTGGCTGAATTGGCAAATTTAGTAGCTCCATCATTCTAGTCATTATTAATCCAAGAATCTTTGACTATAGGATGGAAAGATTCCTCAAGCATCTAAGTAGCATAGCAATAAAAAGATTTTTGATGTTGCTCATGATAAGTCTCCTTAAGCAATTGGATTCTAATCAAATGATGATCAGAATCATATCTAAGAAGGTGAAAGGAATTGGCCTGATGAAATTTAAGTCTACATTCCATATTGCAAAAGGTCTAATCAAGCCATTCTTTAACATTATCTTTCCCCTAAGTGAATCTACCACCACAGAAATTTAGCTTAAGAAGATTGGAAGAATTTATGTGTTGTCTAATTGTTTCAGAAATCTCTAGTTAAAACTATCCTCAACACTCTTAGCGAGTAAAATAAGACTTGAAATCACCAACAATGAGTTAAGGATTATAAATACTATAAGCAAGAGAATTGATTGAATCCCAAAGCATATCACAATTGAGAGGGTTAGAGCCACCATAAACACGAAAGCAAGTAAGAGTAATTATTGGTTAAAATTTTAACCCTGTAGTGCAACAACTAAACATTAGTATACATATAATCAATGTTAACAATATCATTATTATATAATAACTAAATACCACCTGCATAACCAATTGTTTCGACACGAATCTAATTAGTAAAATTCAATTTCCTAACAACATTATTAGCTTTGGAACCACTAACTATAGTTTCAAGTAAAATAAGAATTTGAGTATTATAATTAATTTCTTTAATATTCTTGGGAAAATTGTTAGCACAAGCATTTCTACAATTTCAACAAATTAAATCCATAATAAATGAAAAAGGAGGAGATAAACCTCATAAATGATTAGGCTTTTTGGATTTCCACATAATCCTCAATTGGTCGTCATCATTGTCGAGATCATCATTATGGACTGGTTTATAGTAATCTTCATCCAAGAGATCATCATCAAGAATGTCATCTTCATCATTAACTTGAATGAGTTCGTTTTGTTTACCTTTAGGATCCAAGAAGTTATTATTATTTCTATAAAAGAAGCCACACTAAACTGAGTTTCAAGTACAATGCTATGATTATAATCTGGGTCTAGAAGCTTCCTATGATTGAGGGTTTTTTTTAAAAGAGGTTCCTTTGCCAATATTAGAAGCCTGCCAGACTTTTGGATTGGAGAGAAGAAAGCTTCAGTAGCATTTTGAGTAGCATTATTCCAGAGCTATTCTTCTTCTTTTTTTATTGCTTATGGGCTTACCAAAAGAGCCCAGATCTCTTTTTTACCTTAAACCACAGTATGGATTCTCTTAGAGGGCTGGTGATTTGTGTTATTGGGCTATATTAGAAGATATTTTATCTAGGTTAAACGTTTTGGGCCTTCCCATTTGAAGCTTGGCCCAGTTCTTTGGGCTTTAGAAGAATTGTCCGCTTCATTTCTCACTTCCCAGCACTTTCATCTGCTGCCTCTTGTTCTTTTGGCTGGGATCTTGTCATTCCTCCCAAATCCTTCCTCTTCCAAACCTTTTTGACAATCTTTATAGGTAAGGCTTTAGGTGGAACATTGGTTGCAGTTTCTTTTTTTATTTAGGTCGTATGGGTCATAATCTAGGGCAGCAAGGATGTCAAATCTCATCTTGGATGTGAAGCCTTGTCCTCGGTTTTGACGTGAAGCTCGAATATCCGCTAGGTATCTCAAAAAAAAAAAAAAAAAAAAAAGCATTTTTTGTGTGTTTGTATTTCATTCATTCTCTGAATTCCTCCTTCAACAGGTTCGGATTGTTTTTCTGGTGAGTTCTTGTTTTTTGATTCTGGGTTTCATTAGATTTCTCATCTTCCTTCATTGGGTACTATTGATTGCTGTTGCTGTGTTAGGTTCATTATTTACGCACTCCTTTGCTCTATCCTCGTTTTTGTTATTTGGATTTTTAGGACAGCTGTTTTCATTATGTCTATAATAATCGCATCCAAAGAAAATCAAATTCAGACTTTCATATTCCATGTTATAAAGTTCATCCCTGATTAGAAGCCTGGGAACCAATTTTTTTGGGAGATCCACTTCAACGCTAATCCTCACAAATTTCTCCGTTTTTCACTTCCCTTGCTTGTCCTTGGAATCAAATTCAGATAGGGAATTGGAGTCCACTTTAAGTGTTTTTCCTATGCTATTTCCCAATCCCCAAAGTATCTCTTTATCATAGCATTATATTGGGATACTAGTGAGTCTAACCCATAAAGCAATTTTACCTTAAATATTAGAATTTAGATTGAAACTAGGAGACCAGCGTTGTACAAGCGTACAGTGGGCAAAGATTGTCCAAGGGCCACCCTTGAGTATTTTATCAGAAGCAAATTGATCGTTAGTTCTAATAACGCAGTAGCTATTGACAAGATCTATTAATTTGAAATCTTTTAGTTGCCACATCTTTGCTAACCTAGGCCTAAGAGATTTAGGATTAAGATGTAAATCCAGATTATTGATGACTATAGCATCCATCCAGGGCAAGCATATTTTTATTTTCCATTCCTAGCAAGGTATTTATCCGTTAGCTTTTTTGTTCATTCAGATGGTGACCAATAGTGATCCAATTCCTTGGCAAGTGCTTCATTTCTATGACTTGTATCTCTCCCAATGTTGATCCCATAACATCCATTGTAACCAATCAGCGAATCTTTATAACAGTTAGGAGCTCTAATCCCTTGGAATGATGCTGATTTGTTTTCATTTGTATTAGTTGCCACAGCATCATTAGTTTGTATTTCCATTGGTTGATCATGATGACTCTCAGACATAGTAGGCTTGTTATGTTGAATCTGAACTACTAGCTGTTGCTGTATTTCTGGACCCTTGTCAAACATCTCATCTTCTGGCTTTGAAATGTTTTTGATTAGTAAATCAATCTCTTCTTAAGTAGGAGGATTCATGATCTCTTCATGGGATGAGGAAGCTGACAAAATGAAATTAGGATCAAGTAGAGGCATTGTAATCATGGAGCAGAGCAAGATGGCAAAAAGCAAGTTTAGGAATCAAGGAAGAAGATGAACCCTCTTTTCAGGAAACTAAAGAGAAGGTTGAGCTTCTCACTAGCCTTTTTGGTAACTGTCCGCCTCTTTGAAAACGAGTGTGAAAATAAATTTCTTTCTAATTCAGACGTGGACTGGCCTTTTCTACTTGCGTTTAACTCTCAGACTCTCTCTGACGCATACATCCTCTCCGAAGTCAATTGGTGGGCTTATTATTAATTATTTGTGCAAATAGTTTTGGTGAATTAAGTCTTCCAAGTAGTTTTTTTTTTTTTTTTTCTTGGGCCTGAATCTTCAACTAATGTCGACTGTTAATATATAAATACATCCTTAAGGGAGCCTAATGTCTTTCACTGTTATTTCATCTCTCCCATCCACTTCTCTTGGATCCGCTGCTAATGAGGACAAAGTTCGTAACAGATCTGACAATTTAAAATATCAGCCTTCCATTTCTCTCGTATCTAAGTAGATCTAATTCCAATATGCCAATAAATGGTGAGTTATTTTAAATGCAGACGATGTTAGAGCATAATAAAAAGAGAAGAAAGATGTTCGAAAAAATTGAACAATCTATGTGCCTATTTGGATTTGGGTTGAAAGTCAATTTTCTGTACGGAAATCAAGTTTTAGTAAAAAAATACCCAAACGGTCCATTTTCCACATAATCGATTATCTGACTCCAAATGGTGTTTTGACTGAAGCTTATCTTCCCTACTTTTCAATATCAATTAGATGTGTTGACACTTTTATTACTTGTCAGAATTTCGAACATACCAAATATACCCTTGTGACCTGTCATTGTGTGGCTTGTTATTGAATCCTTTAAACATAAGGACATGAATCCTTGACCTCAGAGACAGTGAGATTGTGAGGTTCTCAAGGCGAGAGAGCTAAACGCCGGAGACCTTGTTGGGGCTGCTGACATAAGTGAAGGAGCAAAGAGAGACGGTAAGTTCAGGAGAAAAGCGAATGGAAATGACGGGGCAATTGAGGAGCTGGCTAGAGAGACTGAAGGGTAGAGAGTGATTTGGGAGTGGTGTAGGAGAGAGCATTGTAGGAGGAGCAGTTAGAGAGAGGGAGAGTCGCAGAGAGTGCCCTTAGAGAGGAATAGGAAGGAGAAGAAGGAGAAGATGAAGGAGATGGAGACGAAGAGGAAGGTGAGAGAGATGATAGGAGCCAAGGTGTTTGACTGAGAGCAAGGTGGGAGAGATGATTTGATGCTCTCTTTGTTTTTGGGCGGTCCACCCCTTTTCTTTTGTACAGTTTATAACATTAATATTACAATTTAATTTAATTAAATTTATATTATTAATCAAAATATGTGGTGTTTTAAATAATTTTATAAATATTAAATGTATCACTATTATATTTTTTTTAATAAATCAAATAAATTTAATAATATTACATGCAATTTCATCAACATCTAACATAAAACTCATGCCCTTTGTTGTAATTTATATATCAAAAATTAATGTTGATTAAAATCATCAAAACATTTTTAATTTTATCAAAATTAATTTCAAAAAATATCATCCAAACACTATCACGTTATAACATAATTAATTATAATAATTTTTTCATAATTAATTATATCCAATTAAATGATGCTCCTCTCTCTCTCTCTCTCCTCTCTCTCTCTCTCTCTCTCTCTCTCTCTCTCTCTCTCTCATAACAGATCAATAAAAGTAGAATCTTAAAAGAGACCTTATTTTTTTGGAAAAATGATAATGATAATTATAATTATAATTATAATTATATATAAACCATGTAAAGATATTAATGACAATTGAAGACCTAAAAATATTGAAATGTCAGCAAAGGATTATAGTCACTATTTGTAATTAAAAATTAAATAATTATTAAAATGATCAATGGAATGTGACTCTTGGATTAAGTAAAGTTAGTTGTAAATTTAAATAATTGTTACTCATGAATCAATAGAAAATCAATTGTGAATAAATCAATAGCTTTATAAATTTATGTAACGTCATTTGTGAATTTTTATAGTATATATTTTGTGCCTAATTTGATCTTTTTAAAGCAAAATATTAAACTTCAAATTATAATTTAATAAATAAAAGTCCATATATAAATAAGTATGATTTGCAAATTCTAAAATAAATTGGTAATTTATAAAAAGCTGAAATAAATTTATAAACTATAAAATATTAAATTCTAAAATTTAAAGTAAATTGATAATCTGGATTCTGGTTCAGAAGCTCTTTCGAAAATGTTGTTAACCAATCATAGCCGTAATTTCTAAATGAGCTTTTTACACCCAAATTGAAGTTTGGATTACCCTACTCTCGGGTGCGATCCTAATGTGCTCTTATAAATTGCTCTTTTTTGAGTTTCAGTTCATTCCAAAATACCCTTTTTTTGGACTTAAAAAACCAGTAATGCAAAACTTACACTAAGCCTTCTCATTTTTCCTCTGGATTACAGAAAGTTACAACAAACATTTTTCACAATTTCAGCTAAAACATGCAAGGCAATGACATTTTTCACTAATTAAGTCAAATTAAAAATTTGGAAAAATCAATATTTTGGTCTTTTTTTTTTCTCACCAGCGACACTACGGTCTTCATATGTACACTCATTTTCATAGTTGTTGGTTTGCTTCAGGGATTAGATGTTAAATTAGTTATCATCATATTTCAATATAAATAATTTATTAACTTTAGAAAGTATATATAACAAACAGCCTTCAATTCAAGTGGGTTGGCAGGATGGCAAACTAACCAATTTTTTTAATGTTCAGTTTTCAAAATTTTCAGATCATTCTCATTCTCAATCAATATCTTAACAATCTGTCCTAGGCACAGATTTGCTAGATAACACGATTCCATACCTTTAATACAATAATGGGACTAAAATAAAAACAATAATGTTAAATCTATAAATGCCCTAAATCTCTATGTACAAGAAGATAAAATGGTGAATACCAAACAAATATTAATATTTCCATTAAAAGAAAAAGGAAAAGGCAAGCTAGGCAAAGCTTTAAAAAACAAAACAATAACAAAAAAAAGGAGCTTAACTTAGCGACCTTTGGGCTAGGCATGCCACCCTGCTTAGCTGGTGGGCTAGGCAGGGCTTTCACGTGGCCACAAGTTTTCCAACCCAGCTCACTCTTCTTGATAGACTGAATAAGGCTTGTACTTTGTTAAGCCCAACCCATTTTCTCGATTCTACGTATTACAACTCGATTGTTTCTTGATGAATTGCGAGAACAATGAATTCAATGCCTTTAATTCTTGTAATTGTTGTCCAAGTGAAGGAACTTTCTCATCTGATGGTGTTGAAGTTGAATAGTGTGACATATAGTTACTCAACATCTGGGTTAGGTTGGTTTCAGAGGGTTCTGGGTTTCCCAAGGCTTGTGTTGAAATATCAACTCGCCCATCCATAACGATTTCATCAGAGGACCCCTCTTGAGATTGCTTTTCAACAATCATGTCCTACAATTTGTTAAGAAAAGTAATCTTCAACATCAAATCATAATACAATGAAGTGTTGATGAATGACTTGTATTTTACAAGATTACAACTTACAATTTTCGTTTGAACAGTTGATGAGGCTATCCCATCTGTGTGCTTGTTCACTTCAATCCACATCTCATTACCATTGATCTTTCTTTGATGTTGTGCATCCTACAAAATATAAAATTGATATTAACTGCCAACCCCACCTAGTGGGATAAAACTTGTATAAAATTGATATTAAGTATTTCAACATCGATAGATATTAGATATATTGTTTTGTCTGAATCAATAGAAAGAAATTACTAACCATCTCTGCTTTCTTGCTCGTCTGAGTCTTTAATCCACTAGTGTGGTTGACGGTTTGCTTCACTCCGCGAAGGCTCCTCTTCCTCTTGTTAGTTGTAGCAACCTCCTGAAAAAAAAAAGCATGCAAACAATTATGCTAAAAATTAAAAATACATAAAAAAATTAAAAAAATAACAACAGACTACAAGAAAACTACCTGAGTTTTTGGGTCCATACGACAATCAACATCTTTTTCCCAAACTTCAGAGGGAACCTGGCTTGGGACCTTACTCGTAGAAATCTTACACCAACATGACTTTCCAGATGAATCTGTAAAATTGCAATAATTATTAAACATATTAAAACCATCTACTGTCAATATAACTATAGAATTTTAAATTTGAAACTTACCTTGCACCTCCCTATGCACGCCTCTATGCTGGCAGTAAGCGTCATACTGTTGCTGTATGCTTCTATCATCATGTCGAACCTCTGTATCTGACTGTATATCCTGTGTTCCTAGTTGAGCATTATCTGCATCATCTGGAGTCAAAATATTACTCGTCATTTCTTCAAAGCTAGACATATCCCAATTTCATTCAGATCAAAGTAGCACTCAAGGAGTCGATGGGAAAACTGAATCTCCCACCACTATTCTAGTGAAGTAGAAGACTAGTTTCTGCATCATTAATTGCAAAAAATAAATAAATAAACTAAGTTTAAGGGGATAGTGGAAATTGCAAACATAAATATTAAACTCTCGTTGTTTTGTGTCACAAAGTTGTATTCATAAATTGAGTAAGTCGCATTGTGCGTCATCCATCATTAGATCCATGTAAAAGTGTGCAATATATGAATGTGTTAATGCGAGAATCATGGATATGACATGTAATATGGTCAGGTTAAGGTCTTAAGGATTATCTTATAAATAGGTTTGAGTGTCATGCGTGATAGTAAAGAGTGGAGTATACTGTAAAGAGTTACTTTGAATATCATACAAGTCTGGTTTTGTAGACCTTCTTTGAAGTATTACTATGTATTTACCAAGTACTTTCCTTTTAACATCAACAGCAGGTTCATTTCATAGATTGAAACCAGGCGATTGTTTAAAACTACCATTCATGGTTGTGGCTTCTAAAATTAGACATCTACACGTGATACATGGTTGAGAAAAAAACCTTCTACAAAGCTGCAGCCAATTTAGGTTGGTTTTTAAAATTCCACCAACAACTGTAAAAATTATAGGCACTGTTCCCACTCCTCAAAGCCTCGAGGTAGAAATTTATGAAACCACTATGATATGGCAGCATCTTTGAAAAACCTCAGGCACCTACCTCTGTGTTTTTGTTAACTTTTAACTTGTTGCAACTTTTTGAAACCATTGTTAAATTACTGTGGTTTCTCATAATTGTCATTAAACCATAGTGTGCATCTGCCTAAGGATTTCTGAACAACGGCAAGCAAAATGCACCTCTTTTTGTAGTGAATATGATATGTAATGTGTGTGTTCAGTGTCGTTTATGTCTTACACTCGTAAGGGGGTTATAACTATTGGAGGGCCAACACCTATAAAAGTGTGTAATGCATGTGACTGACAATAGACTGGTGCAATAATAGTACAGAATTTCTCCTCTCTCCTTCTCTCCCCCCTTTCCTCTCCTCTCCTCTCCTCTGTCTCCATCCTATCTCTCTCTCTCCCCTTCCTTCATCATTCTCTTTCCTATCAAAGCTTGTCTCTGTGAACTAGAAGATCAAATACATTCAATGGAACAGAAGATGGAGCAGCATTTCACAGACCACTGAGAAATGGTGTAGGGCCTATCAGCACAGATTGCGAGGCACATGAAAGATCGTGAGGAATCAATGAATGCCAATAGATGAACAGGGGATGTACTTGTACTGAGTACAGGGACTACTAGACACTGGAAAGGTTTTCCAAGAAGGAATTCCCACGGTTCCAAAGGAATGACATTCCTAGATGGCTTTTGAGGTGTAAGAGATACTTATGCTTGGATGAGACATCAGAAGAGTTCAAGGTTAATAACTCGAGCTTGCATATGGATATATGGACGAATGCTTAAATTACAAGTTAGTGTTATGTCCCCAACCCTTTGAGGGTGGTTGAACCTAAAGGGGGTGGACAATAGTGGTGGGGCATTGGGTCAATTGTTTATGTTGCAATTAGTAAAAAGGAGTGATGAAGATGTTGAATGCCTGTAGTAAAGGATGAAGACGTGAAGGGTATCCCTAAGAGTGTAGCTTATCTACTTGAAGATTACAGATATGTCTTTGTTAAAGGGCTATCATTGTTGAGAGAAGGCCGTAACCACCCAATTGTGCTGTAAGAAGGGACTAACGCTATCAATATTAGGTGTTATATATTCCCTTCGGCTCAGAAATATGTGAAAGAAAACATTGTGGGGACAAGAGAGCACTTCACCATTTTTAGCCCTAGTAATCTTGGTAAAGAAGGACAGATCATGGAGGAAATATATTGACTGTGGAGAGCTCAACAATAAGACAATTAAAAATAAGTTTCCAATTCTTCTTTTCACGAATTCTTGGATAAGATTTATGAAGCTAAGTGGTTTACCACGCTTGGACAAAAAGTGGAGTACCAATAAATTAGAATGCAGCCAAAGGATGCTCATAAAATTCTTTCAATCCACATTCCAGACATATATAAGAGAGCAGTTATTTGAGAAGGAAGAGGAAGCTGATGATTGGAGATAATCTAGCCTTGAAGTGGAGGCAAGCTAGTGCACAAATGGGACATTTTGGAGTCAATGCTACATACCAGCATGAGAGCCCTACTTTTGTGAGAGAAAATGTTTAATGATATACAAGAACAGATCTCATAAAAAATTAGAGATAGCTGCTTGGTGTATTATATGGAAGCAGTGTCATTTCTCGGGTTATTGCAGCCTCTACCCAGTCCTAGTCAAATATGGCAGTGTTACTATGGATTTCATAGTGTTACAATTTGGGTAGTTATTGACAGATTAAGAAATGCCCATTTCTTGGCTCTATCTCACACATCTACAGCACCTGGTTTGGCAAAACAATTTTTAGATCATATTTATAAACTTCATGGTGCACTAATAAAAATAAGTTGTAGATGTCCTATCTTCATAGGGAATTTCTGCAGGGAGTTTTTGTGAATAGTGAGTGTCCAACAAAAGCTGCGTTCCACTTATCATCCACAAAATGAACAATTAAAAGCTCTCAACTGGTGCTTGGAAACATGCTTTAGGTGCATGTATTGGGAGGACTGGAGCAGGTCGCCGCCTCTTGCACAATAAACCTGTGAATTGCGGTACAATACTACCTTTCACACTTCTACAAAGCTCCACCCTACGAATTGCCTTATGGGCTAAAAGTACTTTTTTTTTTTTTTTTTTTTTTGCAATACTCACTCAAATACCCAATCATCTCCTAGATTGACAAGCTAAAGTCTTCATACATCGTAAACCCAACTAACGAACTAGGAGATAAAAAGATACTGCCCCAGAAGATATATATCTATTCCTCCCCAAAGATTGAGAATAAAAGCACCTTATCTATAGAGCTTAAAGAGATACATGCTAAATTTCCATACCTGGTGCTAAATTTACGAACTTCGTTTTCCTCTGTGAAGGAAAGGAATCTGCAGGGGTCTTTACATTGTCGAGCACACGTGTAACAACTTCATTTACTTCCATTTCGTCTATGGCTTCAGTTGAAACCCCTGGATCAGTATTTCTTCGAACCCCAGACGAATCCTCAGCGTTTCCTCTTAGCTCAACCTGAGTATGTCCGTCCATGAATGACTTCGCAGCTTTCTCCGCTGTCAAAAGCCGCCCATTCAACTTCTCACACTTTCTCTTCCACGATTTCACCTCAGATTCAGCCCTGCGTTTTTCATCCTCCAATTTACGGATCTTATTCCTCAGCTCAGCAGTAGTATTTCCACCATCCAAGACATTACCTTTCTTAACCGCTTGCAACAGCTTCTCATATCTCTCTTCAGCTTTCTCTCCCCTTTCACATTGCTCCTTATATTTCTTCAATTGTCCTTCCACATCGATTCTCTCTAACCTCTCCTTTTCTAATTTCTCGCTGAGTACCCCAATCTCTGCCCTAAGATTGGTTTCCTTAGAAACCAAAACCTCCTCCACCCTATCAAAATCCACCGTACGATACGCAGTTCGCAAAATCGAAATCAACTCCGTTATACTAAGCGCCATCAAAGAATTTTTATCTTCATCACCAGCAGAATCGGGTGTAAGGGCAGACCCAACTGCCATTTTCAACCTAGAAAGATCAGAGAAGGTATCTCTCTTGACTAAACTGCGGATTTGGAGAAAAATAAAGAGGGCGGGAACAGGAAGCCATGTGAACGACGAGGTACAAGTTACAGCGAATTTGTATCCTTGCCGCTTCTGATATGTCTTCCCATCACATTCGAAGGAGGAATTGGGAACTCGTAGCTCCTTTTTTTGGCCGAAAATGTGTTGGGAACAGGGACGAGAGGATAATTGACGTTTACTAATATAAATTTGCATTAGATGTTCAGATGAGAGAATGACAAACACAGTAATATTTATTATAGTTTTATTAAGTTTTATTTTTAATTTTTGTAATTTTTTGATATTTTCAGTCATAATTTTAATAAAAGTAGGTAACATTTGTTTTTTCAAATTTTTATAATGTTAGGATACTGAAAATAAAAACAAAATTCATTAAAACTATATAAATTAATAATTATATTTTTTTCAGAAATATATCCCAAAATAAATGACAATTAAACACAATGAAATTTAAACGTGGGCAACTCTTTTAACAAAATTCAAACCTTAATTTAAGGGATTAAGTCATTTTATTAGATCCAACCCCAAGCATGATGATTATTTTTTTTATCTTTAGAAACTTGTTGTATTTTTGTTTTTGTGAAAGGACATATTTGCTCTTTTTTAAAATTTATTCGTGAAGTTCAACAACGGAAATTCATTTATTATTTTCTTTAAAAAATGTCTATAATTTTTAGGAAAAGACTCCAACGGAATATAAAATGACAAGATCTAATAATAATCTTTCTTTTATTTTCAAGCAAAAAGTTTTCGAGTCTTGGGAATTAGAACATTAATATTACATTTCACGGTATTAATAATAATAATAATATTTTTTACAGAAATATTTTTTTATTCTCCCACATATATAATAATAAAAATTAAAAAATTATATTCACTATTAAGAATTAAGAAATAATATATCTCCAAGTTATCATCATTATAATTTTCATCTTCTCCAATGTCACATAAATCTTGTAATTTCGTGTGCTCGACTGCGTCCAACCTCATCTTCTACGTTAAAATCTTGTTGAGCTTCTAAAGTTAAAACGTATGGTTCACATTTTTCACAATCTCTCACTATAACAAAATATATGTTTTTTAAACCTCTTTATCTAGACCAGTTCAAGAGCATAAAGTTTAGAAATAGGAGTGAGACATTGTTTTAAATAAATGAAAAATTAATATGCTATTTAAATTGATTCCCTTAGTAACTGGCAACGGGTTCAGATATTGCATCTAAACCTGTTATAATTTATAACTAATTTAAAAATATATAATATTTAAATTATTTTTATTTTATATAAACATCTAAATCAGCTATAAATTGTAACGAGATTAGATATATATTTTATTTTTTTAAAAAAATATTTTTTTACACATCTAACTTATTTAGATGTGTTTCAAATTTTTTAAAAATTATTTTTTTTAATACATCTAAACCATTTTCTTTGTAACCATTTTAGATATACTTCCAATTTTTTGAAAATCCCTCTTTTTCATATAAGCTCATTCATCACACATGCCCATCTTCCCTCTCGCAGTCAAAAGTGTTCAAGCTCTCTAACCTAAAATCAATTCATCGTACTCGAAAGCTTGAAACCCAGATTCAATTGTTGAAAACCCCTCTCCTTTATATTAGTTCATTCATCACATATAGCCATCTCCCTCTCGCGCTCGAAAGCATTCAAATAGCTACCTCTTGAACCCAGAATCAATTCATCACATTCAAAAGCTTGAAACCCAAATTCCTAGATCAGCTTCGAACCTAGAAACTTGTGCTCATGTGATTCTTACTTCTCATCACGTTCGCATGCTTCGTGCTTCAATCTGTGTTCCGCATTCATAGAGCTTCGTTCTTTGTTTCTCTAGCTTCAATCTTTCACCTTAGGTCGTGCTTCAATCTCCAAGCTTCAACCCAAGTATGTTGTTTAATTTCCAAGAAGCACCTGAAATTCCAATCTCTGAGCTTCACTCTCTAGCTTTAGGCTTCAATTTGTTGATTAACTTTCGTGAGCTTTTGTGCTTGAATATGCTTCTGTGACTGTGAGCTTAATATTGGTTTTAAATTAAAAAAACATTGCTTGTGAATCCACTTTGTCACTGATGGTTTAGCTCATTGTATTTGAGTTGTGCATGTGAGGTGTTTGTTAAAATGGCTCTTAGAATTATTCTGTATAATATCCCTGCTACTACTAAATCCGAAAAAATGGGTTGAGCCTGTGAGCTAACCCATTTAACCCACACAATTTGACAGGTTAGGTTAAAAAAATTAGCTCGTTTTTTAAAATGGGCTAGGTTAACCCAACCCGTAAAATTAGCAGGCTAAAACGGGCTAACCCGTGGGCTAGCGTATTTTAAAAAAATAATTTTTTATTTTTAATTACATTATATCTTTTTATAAATCTACAATAATGATAATATTTTTTAAATATATAATTTATGACTCTTAAATATGTTCTTTATATTTGAAATATAGTGTAAATTTTTTTTACAATTTGCAAATAAAATTTTTGTTATAGTTTGTAAAGATGATTTATTAGTTTTTATGAAAATATTTTGAATATATATTATTTATTAATCTCATAAAATCTATTGATTGAAATTAAAAATATGAATTCATTGAGAAAAATAATATAAGTTTATATTTAAATTTTCTTTCTCAGTGACAAAGATAGCACATTTAAGCAAGAAGATGATTGATAATAAAAATCTAACAAAATGAATTTGCTTGATTGAATTCTATGTTTATTTTATTTATTTACAAGTTTTTAAATTACTAATTTTCTTTAAAATATGAAATAAATAAATAAATATATATATATATATATTATAAATTTTAAATTATTAAAAAAATTTTGATAATTTTTTACGGGCCAGCCCACGGGTTAGCTAGCCTGTTAAAAAATAGATTGGATTGAATTTTTCAGTCCATTTTATCTTGCAGGCTGTCCCGACCCAACCTGCAAAAATGCCAACCGCATGGACTAACCCGTGGGTTGGTCCATAATCCATTTGCCTAGTGCTAGCTACCACATTGAACTTATGGTGTTTTTGAATTGTTAAAAATGCCCCTTAGAACTTTTGGATTGTTATATTTGTGTATGAATTGTTAAATTTTGTTAGCTTGATTGTTAAATTTGTTAGCTTAGGTTAGTTAAATATAGTTAGACGATAAAGTATGTGTTTGGATTGTTAGATTAGGTTAAGGATTGTTGTTAACTGGAATGTGATTTATTAAACTATTGTTATTGTATTGTCAGCTATAAAATTATTAGAAAGTTTGACTTTTAATGGAGATTCTGTAGAAATTTTTTTAAAAATTTATTATTTAGTTCTTTTCTCTATATGAAAAAGGCTGAAGAATATAGCATTGGCTTCCCTCCTTCCTATTAGATAGAAAGGAAGCCAACTCTAAATAATATTGTTCTCTAAAAAATTAAAAATTTACAACTAAAATGTCTAACATTTCCTTCCTACCTACTTGTTCTTAGCATGCTTGCTTCCTATTTTTTAATATTGAATTATTATGAATTAAATTATTGTATATGATTGGTTTATTTTCTATATATTAGTGGAGTGTTGGTAGAGGAGGCCTAAGGCAATTAGGCATTGCATGCAACTTTATTTGATTTAAATAACATTATTTTCCCTTTGTATTATTATTAGTAGTCAAACTTTTAGAGGAGATCTTGCCAAAAGAAATTTAAAACTTGTTTGGCCCTATCATCTAGTTTAAATTGTAATTTTGTGTGCTCCAATAAAGTGGGTTGAAAAACCTAATTGTGCGAGCTAAGTTCAGGGGACCAATTTGTCCTAATAGCAAATAGTGGATTGTTTCCCATCGAAGTTTTTAAAAGTGGTTCTTAATCTTATTGGCATAAAAAACTATGAAATCTTTTTTGAGAATGAGAATCTAGCTCAAATTCTCAATGATGGTGACGTAACCACAATGAACATTCAAATTGGGATGATGTATGTATCTTCTTGTAAATGTGAATTTAAATGAAATTAAACAATTCAACTCTTGAAACTAACTTGTTTACATTGTTGTAGGTTTTTGCATCAGTTGTTGATTTCCTCGGGCAAAGACAAGCCATGATTCACTAATGATAAGGAGATTGCCAAATATGCAAAGGAGCAATACATGAATCAAAGGCTCAGTGAAAGTGGCAAGTAGTGTTATCAGTTATTTTTTCATATTTCTTAATCTGTAAGAAAACGTGTATGAATTTGTTCGTAATGGTATTGGATATTTACTTAAGTCATTTTAATTTTTTACAATAAATGCCAGCAATGGATAGTCTTTTTGATGAAGAGCAATTATATTCTCTTATGCTCTCTACATCACAAACTCAATTTGGCAATGAAGAAGTTTTGTGAGCAGTGTGTTTCCATAATACATTATTTTTGTGATTAAGTTACTAACTATGTAATGATGATAGGGGTATGAGAATTGGCAAGCAAGTTTGGTTGTACAAGGCCTCACATGATGTCAAGGATCCCATATGGACGTGATGTCAAGGATCCTATATGGATGACACTAAAAGTAAGTACATGTTTTTACTCTATACAATTTTGATGATAGAGCTTCCTCTAAATATAATTTCGACAATATTGTGTTATTTTATATAGCTTTCATCAACCCCCTTCTAGTTTATGTGGTTTTTATGTGTTGAGACCATTTAAAATTGTGCCCTAGAGCCAATCATTGTACTATGCACATTGTTATTTAATGAATTTCTCTTTTATTATCATATCAATTGTATGTTTAATATGATAACTATATCTTTAGACAAACTATAGTGATTGTCTTAAATGTCCTGGTCGGTCATCTATAAAGAATCATAAATGAAACAAGATTAGAATGACTTGATTAATTATAAAGATACCAATCAAAGTCATAAGTAGTTGAAAGAGTACAAGGTGCTGGACCGACCCACTATGAGACAACTGTATGATACAAGTCATAAACTTATCTCATATGTAACTATATCACTAAGCCTTTTGACCTGAGATCATCATGGATCCCTACATGATGATCACTGAACTTTGACCTAGTCAAAAGTCACCTTTGACTGGGTAATCATGAAGGCTATGATTGAGTTTAGTAATATTTATGTAGAGAAATATGAGTGATCAAGATGGAATTTATCTCTTACATTAAGTGAGAGATATTACTAGGCTCTTCGATGAGTAAGATTGAAAAAATATATGGCCATATTATAATGGAAAGGGTTTTTCCATTGCTATTGTCAGTTCACTCAGAGGTCGAGAAAGAAATGGTCAAGTAAAAGAGAATGATAATTCTATGTCTCATACTTGATTGAAATATTGTTGTGACAAAAGGGATGTGATACGGTTGCATGATAAGTTACATCGGATCATCGATCCTCATGTGAATTGGGTAGTTGCAATATCTTGTTAGAGGCTACTTATGACTTATGGGCTAATAATGTAATTAGCCTACTATCAATTTCATGTGAGCCTACAGGGTTGCACGCAAAAATAGCCTAACTTGAGCTATAATGTCCAAATTCATTGAATCTGAAATTTGTCTAAATTTAATGAATATAATATAGGGTGAATTATATATATATATATATATATTTATATGAAATATAAAATTTAAAATATAATTATATATATATTTTCAAATATATATATATATATGTTTGAAAAAATATATATATATACATGTATATAGAGATATATATATATACATGATATATGTATATGATATATAAAATTAAATATAATATATATATTTTCAAAATATATATGTATATATATATTCGTATATATATAATATAATATAATATAATATAATATGTATATGTGATATTATATTATGTTAGTTTTAAATTTAATTTTATATGATAGATTAAATTTAATAACTAATATGATATGAGAGAATATCATGTCAATTTTATAATTTAAATTTATAAAATAAATTTAAATTAGATATGATATCATAAATTAAATTTATGAGATAAATTTAACTATATTTTCGTGGGCTTTTTAAGTGAAAGACAAAAACATTTATCTATATACTATATATAGATAGAGACGTCTTTTATGAAGGAGGAGAGAGTTAGAAAAGTTCTGACGGCAAAAAACGCTTTGAGAGCCACGAAACACCCTATAGAAAGAAAACTAACGTTCAAAAAAGAACGGACGCTGGGAGCACTAGCACGCTATTCGAGTTAAAAAGACCTTTTTGTGTAGATATCGGTAGAGAGAGCAGATCTATGTTGTCAGCTCTTGAGATCCAAACTCTTAGAGAAAACGTACACCAAGTTCAAAAAAACAAAAGGTAACTCTTCCATCCACCTTGACTTAAACGAGTTCGTTCAATCCATATCAAGATAGAAACTTTAAAATTTTTAATCTTCTACTGCGCATCCCTATCCAACAGAGACATGTATATAATATCATTATGGCCGGTTTGACTAAGTTCATGGAAGAGGTAAATCTAATTTTAAAGACGTTATCTATTGTTTGATTACTTGAAATTGCTAAATTAATTTCTTTGTCTTTAATTTTTTAGATGTGGAATGATACATCACCATTTTCTCAATTAGAGGTCTAGAAAATTAGGCAACGTTGGGAATTGTTCGTGTTAAACCCCCACAATGATAATCTACTAAAAGAGTAAGTTTAGAATAAGTGTAGTGGAATTGTATGAAGTTGAATTTATTTGGATTGTGAATGTTAAATGAAATTGTAAATATTATATAATTAATTTGATTGAATTTAATTATATTGTATTCCAACTCGTTGGATATATACATTACTTTTAAGTTGCAAGTTTTAAATTTCAACCTATCATGGCTTGGGTTATTGAAAAGATAAATGAATGTTGTTCTTTTAAACACAAGTTTTTAAATCAATTATGGCCATAGTCTATTTAGATATCATTCATATTTAAACTGATTATGACATCATAATTGATTTGGAAATGAATTTTTTAAAGGAAAAAATTAAAAATTTCTTTTCTAAACCTTTATCTAAATCAGTTTGGAATAATTATATTTAGATAATTATTTTTAACTAATTTAAATATGCTTTTTTGCACTTCTTATGTATATTAAACGAGAAAAATTAACTAATATAATTCTTATTCTTAACTCTTCAATAGGTATCCATTGAATCCAAGTGAATGTTGGCTTGCATTTAAATAAAGTCACCATAAATCTTTCAAGGTCATATCTGACCCTAGTTATGTCATTCAACCAATTTTTTGAAATAAGCCACCTCCAACGTCGAAACACATTATAGTCATTAATATAGCTAACAAATCAATTACAACGAAGCTATCTATGACACATGGCTCGAGATACATATTACTATTCATGGACTTAGTGAACAGTAATCAGCTCTAACTATAGTGCTGGCTCTAAGCTGCCAAGCTAAGGCTTCCAACATGGTTTTGCTATGATATTTTCAGTCTTGATAGGGAATTTAAATTTGTATTCTATGGGTCATTTGGTTGACATTTTACCTGTAAAGCCCATTACATAATGCAACCCTAATTACATTAGATGTGGCAATAGGGATTACATCAAAAAACTTATGTAATATCTATTCCCACCGAACAATTTATTCAAATTTCCTTCTCTTCGTCTTCACCCTCCTTCTGCCTTTGAACCCACCTTCCTCCTCCCTCGTCACCACCATCCCTTCTGTGTCTACATCGCATGTTAGCTCCTTCCCCAGACCACCCATATCCTTTATCACATGCGTCCTTAGCCTCCTTCAAGCAAGCAAGAATCAGAACAATGGTGAAGCTTGAGAGGATTCCATCGAGGACGCGAGAACGATACTAACAATCATGAAAGACGTATCATTCTGTTGATGATTCTGTCATCCTACTCACAGTCACCATGCTGAAGACAGATTCTCTGTCTCAAGCCCACCTTAAGGCCGCCAATCCAAAGCCCACCTCACTACCACCCTCTCACACCACCATTCTCAAATCTCATCTCATTCATATCTTCCTCCATTCCTCATTATCTTTAAGTTAATTTTACAAATGGTGGGTTTTTGGGTTGGATTATGTTGCTTTGTGTGGTATATACTAGCATAAGGTGTTGATTTTTCAGATTGAGGGTAATGTTGCCAGAGAGCCATCATCAGGAAAAGGAGGAAGATGGGTGGAATTTTTGTGGTTAAGGGTAAAAAAGACATTTCATAATTCTTTTGGTATTTTTTTTCCTAAAAAAATATATTAATCTTATGAAATACCAAACAAACACATGTAATCATTATTACATTACATTCTATTTCTTACCATTACATTATATTTCCTATTATTTAGTAAACCAAACGGGACATAAATGGAGTGAATAACAATGCACATCCTCTACCTCTTTCATATTGACTAACTCTCCCATTCTATCTATTAAAGTGGTATCTCTTAAAGCCATTTATCAAATGCATCTCCCCTTATTTGAAATATTCTTAGATAGATCGAGTGTATCACATCATCTGTGGTTTGTCTAATAAAAACATGATATTTCAATGATAGTAATTATAAATTTATTCTCATATTGATGATAGTAAAAAGAGAAAATGAAAGAAATTAAATATGAATTGTGTTATAAGAATAAAATTAATTAAAATAATTTCACATATGGTTTTATTTAGATAACTTGGGATATTTTAATTGAGTAGATCACAAATGACATAGTGCAGTTGATTTACTTAAGAATTTCTCCCCTTATTCCCCAACTATCTACAAGGTAATCACTCATAATTATAACTCATTTTGTGCCTTCCTTTAAAAAAAAAAAAATTAAAACCAATCATTTCATTTAAATGGTTCAATGCGATTTCTGTTTTTGGTTTCAGCTAAGCCATTCATGGAGCATGGTTTGCTTCATAGCAGAGTGCAAAAGAAAGAAAAACGTGAAGAGCTTTGGGAGTGATGATTGAATTAGTGGAAGAATGCAAATCCTTAGGCATATTCTTTCATCAATACTCCTTTCCTTTCATCTCTCCTAAACTTTTTCATCTGTAACAGCAAACTTCTCTTTATAAGGATTCATAGATAATGGCTTGAGTAGTTTATTTATTAAGAGTGTTTTAGGAAAAAAAAAACACATTAATTATACTTTAAAATATTAAAAATATTATATATTTTTTTATATTCAACTCTTTAATAAAGTACATTGCACCTTTAAAAGGGCGTAATAGTTATTGATATTGAAAGAAGGGTGCAGGCCGATCCTATAACCTTCTCTCTTACACCGACAACCCCCAGTTCTTGGCCTCTTCCATCCCCATGTTTTCCCTTTCCATATTTTATATTAATAATGTAAAATAATTTCAATGCATGTATTTTTTATTATTTATTAATATTTATATAATATACACTTATATAATAAATAAATAAGTTAATACTATTACTATGTATTATATAGTATAATATCACGGGAGTCGGGAAAACAATTCACAATAAGTAGAAAATTTATTTTTGCATGTTTAGAGAAAAAATGTTTAAACTTGCCTGCGAAATATTAATCCTTTTTGCTAAATTTGTGTTCCGCTTGCTTGGCTGTAATTCGTTTTTATATTCTATTTGCTCCATGACAGCTTTTGCGAGGTCTAAACTATATCAATTGTAGACAAACAAGTACCAAAGGTAACCATAGTTTAAGTGAAGTTTTATGAAGTCAATTGCAATGTTAAAAGGGACAAGTGCAATTTTAAGACGGAAGTGAAAATTTTGTTGATGTAGTATGAGATGGAAAAATTTGTTACTTAGAAATGACAAAATGTCAAGTAATATTAATATACATTGGTTAAAAAAAAAACCTATTAATATAATGTATGAAGAACTCTTTCATCACCTTCAACCTTCCAATCTTTTGATTTGTTTGACATAAAAAAATTAGTATATTCCATCATTAACATTTTGAATCATGAAACATTACTTCACCGTCATTAATTTCGTTCATTACTTTGTGACCTTTTAAATTTTTTTTTTATCGATTAATGTGAAATATATTTTATTGATAGGTATAATAAAATAACATATGCAATGCACAGGGTCATGGCTGGTTGCTATTACTAGCACAACTTCGCGTCCAAAACTCAAAACAAATAAATTAAAAATATGAAATAACCTTTGCATGATTGAAACTGTGATTAAGTTGCAAATTTACAATGTTTTTTAACAGCTGCCAGTCAGTTATAAGCTTTTTGGGAAGTCATTGACGGAGCGCTTTTGCCTAGGGTTTTTCAAACAAATAAAAAACACCACAGGCAATTTTTTAATCGGGTGCGTTAGCGTCTTGTTTTTGTTATTGTTAAAACTCAAAACATATAAAAATTTAGGTCAACTCATCAAATTAAACTAATAAATCATCAAATCAATGTATTAACTTGTTTGATCACAATTTAATTATAATTTTAATTATTAATCTTTGAATGAGTTTCTAAACCAATTCAATAGTTGGTTCAGTTTTTAACATCTAGATTAAAACTATAACTATTGCAGACGATTCCTATAAAAAGTTGCTATATTGCCACTGTTAAACTAAAATAAGAGCTAAGGGTTAGTTTTATTTTTAAATTGTATAAAAAAAGTTACAAATATTCCTAACTTAAATTATAAATCAATTCTATCCCTCAACTTTTAAGATTCCCTCTATTGTCATCCTAACGTTAAAAACACTTAACATTTATTAATCATAAGTGAATTTCACTATTTTTTTAATATTTTTCATTAAATTAAATGTCATTTTTTCCTTTCAACTTTTATTCAAATGGTCATTTTTCTTATTATATTATGTATATATATATAGATATATTCGTATATATATAATATATATATAATATAATATATATATATATATTCGTATATATATAATATAATATAATATAATATGTATATGTGATATTATATTATGTTAGTTTTAAATTTGATTTTATATGATAGATTAAATTTAATAACTAATATGATATGAGAGAATATCATGTCAGTTTTATAATTTAAATTTATAGAATAAATTTAAATTAGATATAATATCATGAATTAAATTTATGAGATAAATTTAACTATATTTTCGTGGGCTTTTTAAGTGAAAGACAAAAAAATTTATCTATATACTATATATAGGTAAAGACGTTCTTTATGAAGGAAGAGAAAGTTAGAAAAGTTCTGACGGCAAAAAACGCTTTGAGAGCCACGAAACACCCTATAGAAAGAAAACTAACGTTTAAAAAAGAACAGACGCCAGGAACACTAGTACGCTATTCGAGTTAGAGACTTGTTCATGTAGATACCGGTAGAGGGAGCAGATCTACGTTGTCAGCTCTTGAGATCCAAACTCTTAGAGAAAACGTGTACCAAGTTGAAAAAATTAAAAGGTAACTCTGCTATCCATCTTGACTTAAACGAGTTCGTTCGATCCATATCAAGATAAAAACTTTAAAATTTTTAATCTTCTACTGCGCATCCCTATCCAACATAGACATGTATATAATATCATTATGGCCGGCTTGACTAAGTTCATGGAAGAAGTAAATCTAATTTTAAAGATGTTATCTATTGTTTGATTACTTGAAATTGCTAAGTTAATTTCTTTGTCTTTAATTTTTTAGATGTTGAATGATCCATCACCATTTTCTCAATTAGAGGTCCAAGAAATTAGGCAACATTGGGAATTGTTCGTGTTAAACCCCCACAACAATAATCTACTAAAAGAGTAAGTTTAGAATAAGTGTAGTGGAATTGTAGGAAGTTGAATTTATTTGGATTTTGAATGTTAAATGAAATTGTAAATATTATATAATTAATTTGATTGAACTTAATTATATTGTATTCTAACTAGTTGGATATATACATTACTTTTAAGTTGCAAGTTTTAAATTTCAACCTATCATGGCTTGGGTTATTGAAAAGATAAATGAATGTTGTTCTCTTAAACACAAGTTTTTAAATCAATTATGGCCGTAGTCTATTTAGATATCATCCATATCTAAACTGGTTATGACATCATAATTGGTTTGAAAATGAAGTTTTTAAAGGAAAAAATTAAAAATTTCTTTTCTAAACCTTTATCTAAATCAATTTGGAATAATTATATTTAGATAATTATTTTTAACTAATTTAAATATGTTTTTTTTGCACTTCTTATGTATATTAAACGTGAAAAATTAACTAATATAATTCTTATTCTTAACTCTTCAATAGGTATCCATTAAATCCAAGTGAATGTTGGCTTGCATTTAAATAAAGTCACCATAAATCTTTCAAGGTCATATCTGACCCTAGTTGTGTCATTCAACCAATTTTTTGAAATAAGCCACCTCCAAAGTAGAAGCACATTATAGTCATTAATATAGCTAACAAATCAATTACGACGAAGCTATCTATGACACATGGCTCCAGACACATATTACTGTTCATCAACTTAGTGACAGTAATCAACTTAGCGATGGTACTGGCTCCAAGCTACCAAGCTGAGGCTTCCAACATGGTTTTACTATGATACTTTCAATCTTGATATGGAATTTAAATTTGTATTCTATGGGTCATTTGGTTGACATTTTACCTGTAAAGCCCATTACATAATGCAACTTAGGGCTGTGTATGGGCAGGGTCGGGTAGGGCAGTCCATTAACCCGATGCCCTGCCCTAAATGTCTTCAGGTAAAAAAACTATGCCCAAAGCCCAACCCTACCCAAAAAATGCCCGACTTTGGAGGGGTCGGGCGGGCAGGGTCGGGCAGGGATCGGGCACTTCGGGCAGGGTCTCCAACCTTGCCCTACCGAAATAAAAAAATCAGAACCATCCACACAAATCTGAAATACACTGTAGCAAATTAATTATTTCCATCAATAAATCACTTCAAGCTCTTATTTTAAAAGTAATAGATTGTTAAATATCACTAGCAAAAATATTATGGTGTCATCAAAAAACTTAATGGAAAAGCAAATATGGAAGGAATTTTTCATGCAAGTCACAAATGCTGTCCAATTCTAAATTCTAAGGAATATAAAAATATTGAACCTAAGGTTTACAAACTTGATCATCAAGGCATCTAAAAAAAAGAACTACCATTTATGTCCCCATCAAGTTAACAAATTACATCCTATATTATTATTTTTATAAAAAAATATATTATATCTCGGGCCGGGCAGGGTCAATTGGTTGGATACCCCAGCCCTAAACCCTGCCTAACCCAAAGATCGGGCTCAGCCCGACCATGCCCAAATAGTATTGGGCAATTTTTTTAGGGCTCGGGTTGGGCATATTCTGCTCGGGTCGGGCAGGGCATCTCGGGCTTATGGGCATCCTGCACAGGCCTAATGCAACCCTAATTACATTAGATGTGGCAATAGGGATTACATCAAAAAACTTATGTAATATCTATTCCCACCGAACAATTTATTCAAATTTCCTTCTCTTCGTCTTCACCCTCCTTCTGCCTTTGAACCCGCCTTCCTCCTCCCTCGTCACCACCATCCCTTCTGTGTCTACATCGCATGTTAGCTCCTTCCCCAGACCACCCATATCCTTTATTACATGCGTCCTTAGCCTCCTTCAAGCAAGCAAGAATCAGAACAATGGTGAAGCTTGAAAGGATTCCATCGAGGTCACGAGAACGATACTAACAATCATGAAAGACGTATCATTCTGTTGATGATTCTGTCATCCTACTCACAGTCACCATGCTGAAGACAGATTCTCTGTCTCAAGCCCACCTTAATGCTGCCAATCCAAAGCCCACCTCACTACCACCCTCTCACACCACCATTCTCAAATCTCATCTCCTCATTCATATCTTTCTCCATTCCTCATTATCTTTAAGTTAATTTTACAAATGGTGGGTTTTTGGGTTGGATTATGTTGCTTTGTGTGGTCTATATTAGCATGAGGTGTTAATTTTTTTAGATTGATGGTAATGTTGCTAGAGAGCCATCATCGGGAAAAGGAGGAAGATGGGTGGAATTTTTGTGTGGTTAAGGGTAAAGATGACATATCATAATTCTTTTGGTATTTTTTTCCTAGAAAAACTATATTAACCTTATAAAATACCAAACAAACACATGTAATCATTATTACATTATATTCTATTTCTTACCATTACATTACATTACATTTCCTATTACTTAGTGAACCAAATGGGACGTAAATGGAGTGGATAACAATGTACATCCTCTACCTCTTTCATATTGACTAACTCTCCCATTCCATCTATTAAAGTGGTCATCTCTTAAAGTCATTTATCAAATACATCTCCCTTTATTTGTAATATTTTTAGATAGATCGAGTGCACTACATCATCTATGATTTGTCTAATAAAAACATGATATTTCAATGATAGTAATTATAAATTGATTCTCATATTAATGATAGTAAAAAGAGAAAATGAAAGAAATTAAATAAGAATTTTTTTGTAAGGAATAAAATCAATTAAAATAATTTCACATATGATTTTATTTAGATAATTTGGGATATTTTAATTGAATAGACCATGAATAACGTAGTGCAGTTGGTTTACCTGAGAATTTCTCCCTTTATTCCCCAACTATCTACAAGGTAATCACTCATAATTATAACTCATTTTGTGCCTTCCTTTTTTTTTTTTAATTTAAAACCAATCATTTCATTTCAATGGTTCAGTGCGATTTCTGTTTTTGGTTTCAGCTAAGCCATTCATGGAGCATGCTTTGCTTCATAGCTGAGTGCAAAAGAAAGAAAAACGTGGAGAGCTTTTGGAGTGATGATTGAATTAGTGGAAGAATGCAAATCCTTAGGCATATTCTTTCATCAATACTCCTTTCCTTTCATCTCTCTTGAGCTTTTTCATCTGTAACAGCAAACTTCTCTTTATTAGGATTCATAGAGAATGGCTTAAGTAATTTATTTATTAAGAGTGTTTTAGAAAAAAGAAATATATTAATTATACTTTAAAATACTAAAATCTTATATATTTTTTAATATTCAACTCTCTAATAAAGCGCATTGCATATTTAAAAAGACGATTAGTTATTAATATTGAGACAAGGGTGCAGGCCAATCCTATAACCTTCTCTATTACACCGACAACCCCCAGGTCCTCCCTCTTGCCTCTTCCATCCCCATGTTCCCCCTTTCCATATTATATATTAATAATATAAAATAATTTTGATACATGTATTTTTTATTATTTATTAATATTTATATAATATAAACTTATACAATAAATAAATAAGTTAATACTATTACTATGTATTATATCATACAATATCACGGGAGTTGGTAAAACAATTCACAATAAGTAGAAAATTTATTTTTGCATGTTTAGAGAAAAATATTTAAACTTGCCTACAAAATATTGATCCTTTTAGCTAAATTTGTGTTCCGCTTGCTTGGTTGTAATTCGTTTTTATATTCTATTTGCTCCATGACAGCTTTTGCGATGTCTAAACTATATCAATTGTAGACAAACAAGTGCCAAATGTAAACATAGTTTAAGTGAAGTTTTATGAAGTCAATTGCAATGTTAAAAGGGAAAAGTGCAATTTTAATAAGGAAGTGAAAATTTTGTTGATGTAGTATGGGATGGAAACATTTGTTACATAGAAATGACAAAATGTCAAGCAATATTAACATGCACTGGCAAAAAAAAAAACTATTAATACAATGTATGAAGAACTCTTTCATCACCTTCAACCTTGCAATCTTTTGATTTGTTTGACATAAAAAATTTAGTATATTCTATCATTAACGTTTTCAATCATGAAACATTACTTCACCGTCATTAATTTCGTTTATTACTTTGTGACCCTTTAAATTTTTTTTATCGATTAATGTGAAATATATTTTATTGATAGGCATAATAAAATAACACATGCAATGCACAGGGTCATGGCTAGTTGCTATTACTAGCACAACTTTGCGTCCAAAACTCAAAACAAATAAATTAAAAATATAAAATAACCTTTGCATGATTGAAACTGTGATTAAGTTACAAATTTACAATGTTTTTTTAACAGCTGCCAGTCAATTATAAGCTTTTTGGGAAGACATTGACGTAGCGCTTTTGCCTAGGGTTTTTCAAACAAATAACAAACACCCCAAACAATTTTTTAATCGGGTGCGTTAGCGTCTTGTTTTTGTTATTGTTAAAATTCAAAACATAAAAAAATTCAGGTCAACTCATCGAATTAAACTAATAAATCATTAAATCAATGTATTAACTTATTTAATCACACTTTAATTATAATTTTAACTACTAATCTTTGAACGAGTTTCTAAACTAATTCAATAGTTGGTTCAGTTTTTAACATCTAGATTAAAACTATAACTATTGCAGACGAACTATTGCAAACAATTCCTATAGAAAGTTGCTATATCGCCACTGTTAAACTAAAATAAGAGCTAAGGGTTAGTTTTATTTTTAAATTGTATAAAAAAAGTTATAAATATCCCTAAACTAAATTATAGATCAATTCTGTCCTTCAACTTTTAAATTCCCTCTATTATCATCCTAGCGTTAAAAATACTTAACATTCATTAATCATAAGTGAATTCCACTATTTTTTTAAATATTTTTATTAAGTTAAATGTCATTTTTGCCTTTCAACTTTTATTCAAATGGTCATTTTTCTTATTAACTCAAATGTTTTATAATAAAAAATATTAAAAAAATATAATGTAAGACTCACTAACTATTAATTAATAGTGAAAAAATAACAAGATGATAAGAAAGATAATATTTAAAGTGATGAGATACAAGCTTGAATGTGCATGCCAGATACCAAAGGAGCTATTCCAATGTTCAGTCATTTGCATTAGTGCCGCTAACGTACTCATAATAAGCAATAAACATAGTTAACTCCCTATAACTCCTTCATATGCATTTAAACACTACTCTTCCCCAAGGTAGCATAAATAAGAGTTTTGCATCAATGTTGATCACTCAGTTTTGAATAAGAAAATAATTTCCTTAAAAGTTTGTATTTTTTCTGGTTTTGAACCAGTTGAGGGATAGAATTAACTTATAATTAAATTTAAAGGCATTTGCAAACTTTGATGTACAATTTAAGGGCAAAAAATGACTTTTAATCCCCTAAAATAATTATAAATATTAAAACACTATATTACCTTTTACACTTGAATAAAGATATTTTTTAACATGATTTCAAAATTCAAAACTTTTCTGAAATTCAAAATAATATTTTTTTTTAAATTTCAAAACCTCTGTTATATATTCAAACGGTTAACAAAATATAGAAATAATTAAAGCGGCAAGGGTGAGTCTAAGGCTCTCAGCCTCTAAGCTAAAACTCAAAAGTCGTCAAGCAAGCTCAATTCATTTGTTCCCACAAAAATTGAAAAACTAAACATGCATCAACATGGTTTGTGCTGCAATGTCGGAATAAACTCTACACAATACGATTATAAACAAACAAACAAATTTAGATTGAAAAGCAACATACTAAAGTGTCAGATGAGTAGAACTCTGTTGATTCTTCGTGAGTTGTGGGAGCTTTGATTTCAATGCCCTTAATTCCTCTATCTCTCGCTCCAGTGAAGTTACTTTCTCATTTGATTGTCGTAAGTGCTCTTCCAATTGCTCCACTTTTGCGGTTCTTGAATAGCGTGAACCAAAGCCAGTAAACACCTGGGTCGGGGTCGGCCCCAGCCCCAAAGCCCGGACTCGTCCAGGGCGTTCTGGGACTCCCAAGGCTTCTGTTAAAACATCATCTTGCCCATAATTAATAATTTCATTAGCGGATCCCATCTGAGATTGCTTTTCAACAATCTTATCCTGCAATTTGTTGACAAGAAGACGTTCATCACTGAACAATAATAATATGATGTAATTATACCAACAACAACAATAAGATGTAAATGCTAATGATTAATTAGAATTTAAGAGAAAATGCAACAACAATAACAAGAGAATTTATAATTAAAGCATGTCTTTCCAATCAAATATCCAATTAACAGCTTTATGTATTTTTTATTATTTTAGTACATATCATTTAAAATTTAAAATGTATTAATTTAATCATGATTAGTTCGACAATGATTGGACAATTGAACCCTAAACCATGCTTTGATTGGTTCAATGGCTAATCCGGGTTATAGCACCTTGATTGCGACTGATCTACCTTACCCCTAGAGGAATACGTGCTTCTGAAATACCTTCAAAACGGTGTCTGATCCTGAAGTTAGTTCATATGTTATATAAAATTATAATACTTACAATTATAGCCTGAACAGATGGAGAGACTGTCCCATCTTTGTGCTTATTCACTTCAATCCATAGCTCAGTACGATTTATCTTTCTTCGATGTTGTGCCTCCTACAAAACATAAAATTTCTGTTAATTCTTTCAACTGCAATAGATATTTTATTTTGTACGAACTATCAGAAATGAGTTATTAACCATCTCCGCCTTCTTCCTCGCATGAGTCTTTGATCCTCCAGTGTGGTGGATGGTTTGCTGCGCCCTGTTCCTCTTATTGGTTTTAGCAAGCTCCTAAAACATTAAACATACAAAAAATTATGTTAAAAATTATAATTATAACTATATAAAAATAAAAATAATAAAATAATACAATAAATTGTACTACTTGAGTTTTTGGGTCCATACGATACTCGACGTATTTTTTCCAATCTTCAAACGGAACTTGGCTAGGGACCTTCTTTAGTAGCTCCTCCTTTGTCTTCGTTCCATCTTGCAACCCATTATACAAATTTAATCTTCCTTGCCTCCATCTATGCCCCAATTTCGTCATGCAGTACTTTTTGTGCTCTTCAGTGACCACAAAGTGAGCCTACAACATTAATATATATTGCAACTGTCAAAACTTATAAAACAGTTTCATTACATAAGATATATTAAATGTGTATAAATAGGCACAAACTGCCACCTGAATAATATCTCTAAAAAGATCATTCTTCAATTTAGCTAGGAACTTGGTCCACCTAGGATACCTGATGGGGCAAATTTTAGGATTTATTGCTATATTCGATAGGAATTGTCCCAACAACCCGCCTCCATTATCATCTGGCTGGCCATATTCATTAAAATGAACCATAACTCGGTCTCCCTTTGGGAGCAGCCATACATCCCTCTCAAACATATTGCGCCAATATGACTTTCCAGATGAATCTGTAAACATGCAAGTTATAGCTACAAAACATAAGTATCAATCAACGATATAACCATGAAATTTTATCCTTGAAACTTACCTTGCACCTCAACATGCCAGCCTCCACGTTGGTAGTAAGCCTCGCGGTGTTGCCTTGCATATTCATCATCTTGTTCATCCTCTGTATCTGATTGTGTATCCTCTGTTTCTAGCTGGGCATTCTCTACATCTGCCTGTGCATTGTCTGGAGTCAGAATATAACTCATCATTTCTTCAAGCTAGGTATATTATCCATATTATTCGGATCAAGAAAATGCTCAAAGAGTTACTAGAAAAAACAAGTCTCCCACCAGCAGAGTATTGTGAAAAACATGGTCTAGATCATAAACTGATTTTTTTTTTTAACCAAAATTAAAATTTAAGACAACTTCGGGTGACATGTGGCCATGTGCAATTCCAATACGAGGCATAAACAAAGAAAGAAACTGAAAATGAAGCAGCACTTAATGTAATAAGAATTTTGTGCAATTCCAATACAAGGCATAAACTATCATTATTTTGTGTTTCTCAATGTTGTGCTATAAAAAAAAAAAAAACAAGAAGAATTTTAGCATTGAGTGCAGTCCATTATTAGATTCACGTAGAAGTGTGCAATTCATTTACGTGATAATACAGAATATGATATTTAATATGGTCAGATTAAAGGTCTTGAAAAAATAAAATAAGTTTTGAGCGTTGTGTGTGATAGTAAGGAGTAGAGTATATTATAAAGAATTAGTTTGAATATAGCAAAAGTGTGGTTTATGTAAATCCCTCATCTAATCCAAGTATAATTTTAAGTATTAAAAGGGGGTTCATTTTATAGACCAAAACTTTACAATTGTTTAAAACTACTATTGATGGTCGTGACTTCTAAAAAAATAGACGTCTACACCACATGTGCTTGTGGTTTTTAAAAAGCCAAAGTCACTTGCAACAGATTGTATAAAAATTGTAGCCAATGTTCTCATTATTCAATGCCCTGAGGCAATGTTCCCATTGTTTTGACTGGAATTCCTAGCAGTAAGTGAATATCTTCCCTCTATCTCTCTTCAATATTTTGAATTTCTTAACCTTATCTTTTAAATCCCTAAACACACAGTTGGCGGCTTGGCGGCCGGCCCCAAAAACAAAATCCCACACACAGGGTTTGTTAAACCATAAGTACTTCAAAATTTTTAACAATCCTTCCATCAACCAGAAGATATATGCACCACGTATAGACACAACTAATCACTAGAATAGAACGTGTCCATGATCAAATCACAACAAAGGTCATGTTTTCTCTAAACTAATCAGTTGTGCTTTACACATTATCTTTATAAAGCAAGAAATGTCACGGTAATGTAACCATCAAAGCGACATTTTTAAGCGGAAAACGTAACTAAATTCAATAACACTATCATTTCTAATTTTCTAAATTCAATAATTTTGTTAGCAACACAAGCCATGCGTATCCATCTAGCTAAGATAGATGCAAGCTAAATTTACCTACCTGACGTCAAAATTCTCTGCAAAGGAGAGGAGTCTGCTGCGGCATTTGCATAATCTTGTTCTCGTGCAACAACTTCATTCATTTCCAATTCCATTTCGTCTATTGCTTCAGTAGAAATCCCTGGATCATTGTTTCTTCCAACTCCAGAACGATCCTCGGCGTTTCCCCCCATTTCAACACGGGTATCTTCATTCACGAACGATCTCGCACCTTTCTCGACCATCAAAAGCCGCCGATTCAACTCCTCACATTTCCTCTTCCACGATTCCGCCTCAGATTCAGCCCTACAATTTTCGTCCTCCAATTTACGGTTCATCATCCTCAGCTCAGTAATGCTGTTTCCATCGTCCAAGCTATTATTCTTCTTCACGGCTTCCAACAGCCTCTCATATCTCTCTTCAGCTTTCTTTCCCTTCTCACATTGCTCCTTGTATGCCTTCAATTGCTCTTCAACATTCATCCTCTCTGACCTCTCCATCTCTAATTGCCCGCTGAGTACCCCAATCTCGGTCTTAAGTTTGGTTTCCTTAGCAATCAATACGTCCTCCACCCGATCATAATCCACCGTCTGATACGCAGTTCGCAAAATCGAAATCAAGTCCGTTATACTCAACGCCATTAAACGCTTTTTATCTTCATCGCTATCCGAATGAAGCGTGAGGGCAGACCCAGGTGGCATTTTTAGCCCTAGAAGTATCAAAATGTGAAAGATCAGAGGAGGTAACTCAAGAATCACTCACTACCTTCGACTTAATTGAACTCGCTGATGCGATATAAACTTCGGATTTGGAGATGAAGCCGCTAAATATATAATTTGTGTACTTACTACTGCTTCAGATATGTCTTCCTTTCTTGTTCGTTTCATTCGACAGAGGAATTGAATTGGGCAACTTTCATCAGTTTCAGAGGCAGCTTTCTTGAATTTTAATTTTGAGGAAATTGTGGCCGTTGGATCTAACGGACATTTCTGATCATACCACATCATCCTTCTTCACATAAAGGAATTATTCGAAGAAGCTAAATGCTTCTCAAGGAGAGGGCCCTACTCCAAATGGATGCAGTATAATGCTGGGAGCGTCTCTTTTCTTACAGGGCAAAGAAAAGTTAGGTTAAGACTGAAATTTAAAAATTAAAAATGGTTAAAGGTTGCCCCCACAAGGGAATTAGCTTTGTTAGATTTGAGATTTGAAGCTACTTGTGGAGGTATTATTCAAAATTAACAAGGGAATTCGATTAAATGTTTCTATAATTGAAGTTTACTCATCCATCTCATTGCAACGCTATCTCACATATTATAGTGTTCTTAGTTTTTGTACGTTTTTTAATATAATTTTTAATTTGTTAATTAGTGTTCTTAGTTTTGCATGTTTTATCAATTTTGCATATGTAAAAATGATAAACTCTTACTCAATCTTAAAAGGAGTAAAGGTGAAATCCCATATTAATTCGGCCTTTTGGTTTTTGTTTTTCTTTTATTGAAATATATTGCATTATGAAGTGAACGCCGAATTATAGTGGAAGCACAAGAATTTAGATTAAATAATCAATTAATAATTATTTTTATCTCTCAACTTTGTTAAAAAAGTTATTGAGCATTTTAAATTTAATTATAATTTAAATTTATCCCTCAACATGAAAGATTCCCTCCTTTTATCATCCTAACATTAACTCACAATCTCTTCACTATTAGTAAATAGAATATTTTAGAATTCAACATAAAACAAATTAAAATCTCATATAAAATTCAATATAAAATTTGATAAACATTTAAAATTTTAAATTAAGATGAAGATTAAAATCTTCATCAATATAAATCTAAATCCTCCTCATCATCATTTAAAAATAAAATAGTATATTCCTCAAATGTAAGTCCACTCATTAAAGATGGAGGTAGATATCTAATGTCAATTATCTCTGCAATTTCTTCTTTATCACCTATAATAAATATTAATCAAATTATATCATTATTAACCTCACATATGTATGTATGTGTATACATATAATGAAAAGCTGCTCGAACTTGAACCCTTTTTCATAAGATTTATCAGAGCTAGGCCTTTAAGTTCGATTACTTTAAAAAAATTTAATTTCTAAAGTTTGAATCTTTATTTAAATAGAATTTCCAAACCTAACCTTTTAGGCTAGACGCTTATTCCCAACTCTAATGTGACTATATGAATTTTAGTGAAGAAGGGGAAGGAAAAACAAACTGTTGTTTGGGCAAGGACAGATCAGTTTAAAAAAAATGGAGAAGAAAGAGAGAGAGAGAGTTTTGAAATTTAAAAGTGAAAAAAAGAGAGGGAGTTTTTAGTGAGATGAATATACATAGGCCCAATGCATGAGCCAACATTGTTGTGAATAGAGAATTGTGAGAGTAGCTAAGCTGCGACCATGATATGGCTTGGGTCATTTTTATTATATATGATAAATTAATGTTGTAGTTGAAAAAAATGTTAAAAAGGAAAAAAAGAAAAGAAAAGAAAACTAATAGTTAATTGAATTGTATGACTGAGATTATTTGACAATCACCAACTCATATCTCCTCACATTCTCAAATGGTGCATTTCAAAGATGAGCATCAAATGCTAATAGATTCGATGAGCATGAATGCAAACTCAAGGAATTGGGAACAATCCAAAGTACACTTTCTTGGATTTTAATTTTTGAAAAATTATGGCCATGAGATCTAACAAACAATTGCGACCATGTCACGTCATCATTTTCGCACTCCCCTCCACACTCCTTGTGGTTTATTGCAGAATCTTGCTTGAATCCATGAGAAAGTTTTTATCTTGGGATTTAAAGGTGGTTCTTGACAATGAACACCAATACTTTAAATAACTTCACATATTAGTATCGGTATCATGTCCACTATTAATACTCATTGATATTTCTTTGATATGTATTCATAGAGTATCGAAATATTATTTTTAATTTTAAAAAATAATTTTTAATACATATTTAATACTTCTAGATTGCAAATTAATACTTTTAAAGTCCATACTTTAAAGTTATTTTTAAAAAATTAAATTTTATTAAATATTGTGATATTAATTTTTTTGTTTCTAATATATTTCTTGATTTGCTTTTAAAGTCAAAGCTTATATTTTTCTTGAAAAAAATAAGTTTTAGATATAATAAAAAGATAAAAATTATATTTTTAATTATAAAAATGTAGGAATATAATCTTTTGACATATAAACCCTAAGCATAAAACTATTAGTAGAGACTAGATCATTATGAGTGAGAAAAATTGAATCAAAATAAAAAATCGAACCGAATCAAATCAAATTTTGTCTATTTAATTTGGTTTATTTAGTTTTTCGATTTGATTTAGTTTTCTTTTAAAGAAAATTTTGATTGATCAGTTCAATTCAGTTTGATAATTTTTGAACCAAATAAACTGAACCAACTAAATTATATATATATATATATTTTTTTTTTCTTCATATTTTTGAAAATGTGAATAAGTTCTCATCTAGATGAGTAAGAAACATCTTTCTACCACTTGCAGTAGTAGTATTTTTTTAATGTGATGTTCTAATTTTTTATTTCTATAATTTAGTTTTTAATATAATAGTACTGAATTTTATTAATTTTCTCATGAATTATAATATAAGATTGATAATATTTTTGTTGGGCCTTCAACATCAAGGGAAACATTTTAGATAGAAGAATATATGAACAGTTAAACTCTATAAATCCAAATCAAAACACATAAACCGAATAGACCCATCAAACCAAATTATTATAATTTGATTTAGTTTTAAGTCTGCTTCATCATATATTTCAATTCAATGTGATCTAAATTTTTTTTTTTTATAATTCAGCCGATTAGCTTTAGAGAAATTGAAATCTAACTGACCGAATGCTCACCCCCTAGACTAGATTATAGGCAATTAGGTAAAGATGAAATAAAAATATAATTAATGATTGTGTTTTGCTAGGTATTACCATAAAAAACTATATACATATGCTACGTTGGATATTTTCTAAATTAAAATTATATTTTTAATGTTTTTTATGATTTTTCTATAAATATATTTGCACGTATCAATAAATGTATTATGTCTTATATTTTTAAAAATAAAAATATTGAGATATTGAATACAAGATACGTATACGATACGTGTATCAATATCTATGCAATATAGGTTTTTGACATCTAACTTTACTGAAACTAGTTTGTTTGTTTGGTTTTTTTGGGCTAAAAAATAGTCAACTTTATTTATCATGCAGAAAATTATAAACATTAATAGCTGAGACCGAGAAAAACACTAAAAATAAAACAAAGGAAAAAAAAAGAGAAACATAAAGAAAATTGAGAACTAGTAAAACATACAAAAACAAACAGCAAGAAAACATTCAATTCAGCCAACACCAGTCCTATCACCAATGCGGATACTAGTTTTGAGGAGGACAATATATTCTCATATTAAACTTCATAAGCAGGGATCAATTGATAAACTGATAAATTATTTATTTATTGTATATATTCATTTTTTTGGTAACAACTAAACAACATTAACTTATTAGATGGACTGAAGACACCTTCCCAAGAGTATTTAGAAAATTGTCCAATTTTATTCCTGCATGAATTAGTAGAAATCTATAGGAACAAATCTCAAGATGTTGAGATGCATGAATTTTCAAGAAGTTTTTCTTTTTTTGATATTTTATCCATTTGATTATTTTTAATAAAATATAAAATATTTTCTCTCTTTCTTTTTTAAAAAAAATTATAAAATTTCCAATTCCAATAGAACTCCACACATTATGACTTTGCAGTTTTGCTTTACGGACTTCAGCACCATAATATCAAAACAGAGATAAAATGTCCCCAAATGAATAGTGATTATGCGTTAAGTGGATAATAACTATTTTTTAAAAAAAGAATCAATATATATATATATATATATATATTAAAACATAAAATATACAAGGAAATGTTTAAGTCACAAAAAAAGCATTATAAAACCAAGGAGAAAAGCTAAACATCGAAAAGCAGAGATCCTCATAAACAGTTTGAAGGATTAGAGGCTGAAATGAGGCCAATAGCACACGTAAATAATCAACCACAATATTCCTATTTTTACTTGCTTTGAGAGTTGAGAGGACGTACTTGAAGTAATTTCTCCTGAAGCAACTGATCTTCAAACTTGAACTAAATGGACCATAATTCGAGCATAAATTACAAACCCACTACAAAACAACACGAAGAAGACTGAGAGGAGGGAAATGATTTAAATTGTGGTTCTACTTCCTGACCACAAACCCATGCAATAATTGATCATCAGGAAAGATCTCAATCTGGCAAAGGACAAATCCATGAGCTTTGGATTTTTGAATCCAGATAATCCATCATGAAGAACAATATTCTATGAAGGTAAAAGAATCAAGTTGAGGAGCTGTCCCAAAGGAAGAAGTATCAACATCCCATGAGCAAATATTTTCAAACAGAAAACACTAGTTGTTGAAAGATCTAATGAAATTGGCAAAATGTTGAGGAATTCCTTGGTGAATAAGTTAATTTCTGACCTGCCATAATAAGTTCAAGTAGATAATAATATGGGTAATTTGTTTAATTGAGTTACTAAAATAGATGATGGAATAACAAATATAAGGATGGCTTGGGAAAGCTAAAAAGTCAAAATTCTCTATGTTTTATGATTCATCCATGACGTTCTCTTCTCAATTATAAGCTGGGTGAGTGGTGTTTCTTTATATTTCCTATTTATATCACACCAAACATGATTCTACGAGCATAAATTCAAAGAGATTAATATTCCATCCTAAAAAACTAACTTATTAAGTAAGAGAGCTAGCTCATCATATTTATAAGCTTTATTCGCTTGCAAGGCTCAATGTAAGACTCATAGCAATGCCACTAGTGGCAAATGCAAGACCCTAAACTAGTGAAAACATAGATTATATAAAAAATATAAAAACAAATATAAAAATAATTATTTATTTTGGTAATATTATGTCAGAAAAGACATACTAAAATGATATTTTTATAAAAACTATGATATAAATTTAAATATAATGAATTCAAAATTCAAAATTTATTTGACTTAACTAAAACATAATCCATATAAAAGACTCCTTTTTTATTTAAACTCAAATATATTTTAGCTTGATCCCATGGGTTCAAAACTCCTGGAATAATGGGGCAAACTTTTAAAAGTTCCACCAAGCTACTTCTTGTAAATTGCCCACCTCATCTATAAGTGTGTCCGCCATTGAATGTCACCTCATGTCCCCAACATGGGACTAGATGAAATATTGTGTGTGCACCATTAATCCCATGCCATAAATATACACGAATGAGCATTGCATGTCTAAATGTAGCATCGAGGACCGAGTCATGCATGGTTTAGAGAGAAACTTAACGCAGATGCAGGCATGGCCACAAGCACCATGCATGGTTTTGGGGATGAACATTTTGTAGGGACGAGACACATTGAGTCATTGTGGACAAAAGAATGGAGGAGTATATAAATTAAAGTCAGGGGTGCGAGAGGGTGAGAGAGAGAGAGAGGGGGGGGGGAAGAAAAGAAAAATGGGAATGATGATGAGGGGAGGGAAAATGATGATGATGATGGTGGTGGTGATGATGGGAATGATGGTGATGATGATGATGATGAAGGTAGGAGCAGAGGGGGACGGAAGGTACATAGGCAACGGGGCAATGAGACGCAACGTGGCGCCTGGATGTGGGCCCAGAACTCCTTCTCAATGCCAACCCCAGCAAGCCAATCCTTACAATCGTGGCTGTAATCCCTCTCAAGGATGTCGCAGCGGCTGAATTTTGTTGACCAGAATAACACTTGTTTGGAGATTAAAAAAATAAATGATTTTGTTAATAGTCTTGTAATCTAATGGTATGTAAATTTATTTGTAAATGGGAGGTTACATGTTCAACCTCAACTGTAATATTAATGCTTGTCCCTCTAATTTTATAAAAATAAATAAATGGCTTTTTTTATAGTTTCGAGATTTTATACAAAAATATTTAAGAGATTTTATAATATATATCTTATAAAAATAGTTTATTATTTAATTATTTTAATTTTTTTTGATATTTTTGCGTACCTCCATATTTTTATGACATTCTCAGATCATTTTATTTTTAAAAGCTATTCAAAGTACGTGTATGTTTGGTTTTTTTTTTTTTAAGGTAAAAGTCAGTTCGTCAAATATTTATTTAACAAAAGTTAATTATTGTAATAAAATTTATATTTAAATGTATTTTTTTAAAGTTAGTTTAGTAAACTAAAAGTACAGTAAAAGGTACTTTTAAATATACAATTATAAAAAATGACATTGATTTATGATAATTTATAATTTTTGTTATTCAAATGTAATATATTAAAAATATTTAAAAAATATGATAAAATTTTTAATAACATAAAATTTGATATCTTAAATAATAAGAATAAAAAATATAAAGTTTGATATCTTAAAAAAATATCCAAAAATAAATGGACTCACCTAAAAAAGAATAAAAAATAAAAAATAATTTCTTGTCCGTATAGTTTAAACAAATACATTTTAAAAATAAATGCTTTCACCTAGAAAAGTATAACAAATAAAAATTAATATTATACGGACAAGAAAGCATAATGGAAGCAAACAAAAAATCAAAGCTGTAAGAGTGTAAGAGAAGGGGTAGAAAGGTGAAATAAAAAATTTGATTCACATTTTAACTCTCTCATTAATTATTCAACACCCAAATGTTAAATGTGAGTTTCAAAAATTACTCATACTTGTTACATTCCTAGAATTCACATTCAGTCACATTTCAAATCCACTTTCAAAATGTATATCATTCATCTCTCAATTTTTCTCCAAACACAGAACTTTCTAAAAGTTAAATGGAAGTTACACAAATAGTTTAAAATAAGAAGGCCTTTTATCTCTTAACTTGCAAAATCACTTTGTTAAATAAGCTTCATAATCAAAACACTCTTCACATATGTTATTATCCCTTAAAAAATTTAAAATTTGGTACTTTCAAACTATTATATGACAAAATCTCTTTCAAATATTCAAGTTAATTGAATGGTTATTCTTATATCACGTGAAACATTCATTAGATGAGTGGACTTAGGCTATTCATCAAATCCAAATTTTACATGTATCTTTTAAAGTACAACTCTTTCTATTAAATTATTTTAATCAACTATAAATTATATTTCAATAAATAGTCATTCATTAATTAAAAAGTACCTATTTACATTTAGTAAAAGTTATTCATTGTTTGACAAGTTTAAAAATTTAAAAGAGCTTGATTGTGAGAAAAAACAAGTGTTGATCATATTTTAACATATAATAATTTGTTAATTTGAAAGAGCTTGGTTAAGGAAAAATCAATAAAAATTAAACTTGAAAAAATAAATGAAAAATTAAAGCAAATTTAAGAAAAATTAAAGCAAATTTAAGAGATTAAAAATTTCATTGTATATCCTAATTTTTTTAAAGAAAAAATATGGTAAAAGTTATTTTGATGAGGCATCCTAAAAATTGATTGTTAAATTTGAGAGTAATACTACATAAGTTTTTTTTTATTTGACTTTTGATTTTTTCTTAAAAATGTGACTGATGAAGTTGTTGAATTGAGGACCAAGCAAATTAAATTTAACTATTAATTCGACATTTGAGAACGCCAATCTCAGCCTTAAGTTTGGTTTACTTAGTAAGCAAGATACCACATCCACCCCAGGCCAATCATAATCTACCATAAGCCAAAATTGAAATAAGCTCAGACAGAATGTAGAAGAGAAGGTGCATAATGTGCTTCTGTCATGTATATGAAGATTTTCAATACTTAATTGAAGTGAAATTTGATAGTAAAAAAGGAAGCATAATATTTACTTATTTAGGGAGAATATCAACCAAAATCCCAGGATAACGGCTTGTAGAAATTTGAATTAATTCTGCATGCCCAATAGACTCAAGTGAAAAAAGTTTGAACATTAAGTGATGAAAGTAACCTAGATTTGAAAATGAGAAATCATGGTGCACATAAACCATCTATCACTAAGCAATTTGTTGGAAGTTGAATTTGCATGATTTCTACCCATGATGAGTCATCAATGGAATTTACAATAATTTTGGTCATAATGAGTTGACCAAAATATGAAATTAATTCAATTAATTTTTGATTGATAGTCTAAAAGGGAAACAATCTTACGTCATAATAACGATTATTTCAATTAACATATTTCTTTTATAATTAGGCGAATTAATGCTGATTGAATCTTCTTGTTATATGAAAACCTCCATTCACTATAAATAATGACTAGGGGTTGGCCCCAAAGCAAATAGTTCTCTAATTCACTCTTCATCTCCCTCTCTCATATGTTGTACACTATAATTTAGACTCTAATAGTTTAAACTTATATTAGTAATCAAATAGATTCTACTACATTCTAATTTTGTAAGACTTTAACCCGAATCATTTATTCAATTTATTATTTATTTAATAATCCTTCATAATTGAAGTTAAGTTCTTTCTCACCCTCAATCTCCTCATAACCTTGTCAACATCTTGTTTTCTTCAAGGTTGAAGTCAATTTCTTCAACATTAAGAGACAAAGGTTGTTATCTTATGGGTTAATAGAAGAAAAGTGAAAAAGATTGATCTCACTCATTCGAGCGTCTTCGGATTCATTTGTGAGAAGATTAAAGATTTACAGTCTTGTGAATGTAGCAGATCTCAAATATGAGCATTTAGTGCTCACAGATTCGATGGGCATCAAATACAGATTCCAGGAATTGGGATAATCTAAGTACACTTTCTGAGATTTTAATTTTGGATGAAGTGGATCCAACATACAATTGTGATCATGCCATGCCATCGATCTTCTCCAATTGCTCCCTTCCACGCTCCCAATGGGTTATTGCAAAATCTTCCTTGAATCCATGAGAGAGTTTCTATCTTAGGATTCAAGGATGGTTCGTGACAGCTAATTTGAAGCCGAAACTACTAAACTAGTATACATTAATTTCTGCGTAAACTAGGCTACTAAATTGCATTAACTTGTAATCAGTTGGACTGAAAACCTTCCCACGAACATCTAGAAAACTGTCCAATTTTATTCTTACATAATTGACAACTTACTAGAAATAGGAACAAATCTTCTAAAATTGAGATGCATGAATTTTCAAGAAGTTTTTCTTTTTCTTTTGATATTTTTAATAATATAAAATACCCCCCCCCCTCTTTCATTTAAAAAAAAAATCATAAAATTCACATATTCTCGATTTTAGAATATCTATTCCAAGAGAAATGACCACTTCACGCATTATTACTCTGTAGTTCAGCTTTTTGGCCCTGAGCACCATATTATCAACACAGAGATTGAATGTACCCAAGTGAATAGTGATTATGGGTTAAGTGCCATAACGAGTAGGAATTAACAAGAGCTTGTCTTTTCTTCTCACTGTGGAACCAAACGACTCAGTCATGTCAAATTCTTCAATCTGCATCCCATTAGGAAGCTTCCAATCAAAATGGTAAAGCAATTGAGCAAGCGGCTGCTCAATGAGAGCTGTGGCAAAACTGATTCCTGGGCAAATCCTTCTTCCTCCCCCAAACGGTATGTATTCAAAATCTCTTCCTCTGAAGTCGATTGGACTATCAACAAACCTCTCTGGTTTGAATCTCTCTGCTTCATTCCAATACATGGGGTCTCTTCCAATGGCCCAAGCGTTCACAATCACTCTTGTTTTTGCAGGTATCTCATATCCATTGATTTCACATCTCTCTGTGTTTTCTCTTGGAAGTAACAGTACTGCTGGGGGATGAAGCCTGAGAGTTTCTTTGATGACCAACTTTAAGTATTGCAAATGTTGAAGGTCTGCCTCAGAAACATAACCTTTTTTACCAAATACTCTTCTTACCTCTGCTTGTGCTTCTTCCATAACCTTTGGGTTTTTCAGCATTTCTGACATTGCCCACTCTAGAGTTGTTGATGACGTATCAGTTCCAGCTCCAAAAATGTCCTGATAGAGGATGAAACTGATTGAATTTAATTGGCATATGAACCAGAAATTTTGAAGAAATGTTTAGTCTAGGCATATCGTATACTATTTTCACCAGATATTCTTTGTGCAATATACTATTTTCAATTTGAAGCAAATGATCGAAATATGAACACATTGAACTAAGTATTCCAACAGATAGATACACTAATTGAAAATAAAACAGCCTATAAAGAATATAATTAAGATAGGATCCTAAGGCTGCTGATAAATATTTGAGTTCGGCTTCTTCATCTCTTTCCTCATATGTAACTTGTTTAACATCTCTTGATCTTGTAAAATACTCCCTCCATTTTTATTCATAGAAAAAACTGTTACTTTTAGTTTTTCTTTTATACAAGTAAAATTACATTTTTCAATAGACGTTTATTATAAATTTTTTAAATTAACCCTCATAATTTCATCATTTACAGTCATAAGAAACAATTAACGAAGACTTAATTAATATAATAAACAGTACATGATGTTTACGAGAACAAGACTTATTTGGAAGATAGATGATTATGGGAGGGTATAGCATGGCTTCACAATGGAGAGGGATGATCAGTCGAAATTAAGCATTAATTTCTGGGGAAGGGAGTAGTTGACACCCTTTTCTCAATGGATAGTATTATTAAACTAAAAAAAAGTGAGATTAAATAAAGGGTATTTCGGTCCAATTTTTTTTATTTTCAAACACAACTAATATAGTTAAACAATTTTCTTAAACTGTGTGATAATTTTTTTTTTCCTCTTGCAAATATAAGCAAAGGGAGTTTTGAGACACTCCCTCTTGTTCTATTTATAAGGTGGAAAAAGAAAAAAAAAAATTGTCCTATATAAATCACATTATTAAATTTTTATCATAAGTTTCCCTTTTCACCTTTCATTACATGTTGGTAATAGAAAATATGTTTTTAAAATATTTATATTTAATAGAGGTAAAATTGTAAACAAGGATGAATCTAGAACCAAATCTATGGAAGGGCCAAAATGCAGGATTACATTATAGTTGGGGGGGCTAAAATTAATTTTAGCAAATGAAAACAAGGTAATTATAAAAGATTTTTTGTGACCTGCCCCCTCTAAATTTGTCCTTGGTTGAAAATTTATTAAATTTTTAAATAAAGTTAATGACTTTTAAAAAATTTCTTGATTTAATAAAATATGTTAGAAGTAATTTATAAATAAAACTAGTGAAGTATATTAGCATATAATTAATGAAGGAATAAGGTACTAACCAGAATAACAGCTTTGATATTGTCATCGGTGAGTTGAGGGGTATCAGGGTCATTCTGCTGCTGAAGCTTCAGTAGAACATCAACTAGATCTTCCTCTACTTGGCCACGGCTGCTATTTTTCTCTCTATGATATTTGATAATGTTGTCAAGTATTCTATCAATCTCGCTGTGAAGCCTCTCAAGCTTACCTCTCATTCCACTGATTACTGGCAGAACTTTGACTGAAGGATACGAGTCAGAAACATAGAAACCTCCAGCCAGCTTCAAAGCTTCCTCCATTATTGACAAGAAAGCTTCATGATCTCTACATCTCTTACCAAAAGCAGCTCTAGATGTGATCCCAGTTGTGAGTGAGAAAAAATACTCACTGAGATTAATAACAGATCCTTCGTTTGCAGAAATTTTTGTGACGAGAGCTGAAACCTCCTCTTCTCTGATACGACTGAATGATTGAACTCTCTTTGCTGATAAAAGCTCCACAGTGCAAATTTTCCTCAGGTGCCTCCAGTAGCTTCCATAAGGAGAAAAACCAATGTTGGTTGAATTGTAAGAAATGACTCTTGAAGCAAGAAAATAGGGTCTATTGGAGAAGATCACATCATGTGTCTTCATGATCTCTTTGGCCATTTCTGGGGATGAGACTACAATGTTTGAAGTCTCTCCAAGCTGAAGATGCATCAAGGGTCCACATTTGTTTGCCAAGTTTCTTAGAGAATGATGGGGAAGTGATCCTACAAACTGATGTAGATTTCCTATGAGAGGTATCTTCCACGGTCCTGGTGGTAGGTTTCTGAGAGACTTTCTGGAATAGGGTCGTTTAACTATGCTTAATACCACTATGAAGAAGCAAAAGAAAGTGAAGAGGAAAGAAATAGGAACCTGAACCTCCATGAAAGATGTATTCTTACCTAAAGGCATATGATGAGGTTTTTGAGATAAAACAATGCCAATGTATTGAATAGATTTATCATTTATAGCTAGAATTACTTTTATTTCAATTTTTTTACGTAAATGTTAAGACATTTTCAGTCATCATTTCATCCCTACATGCTCCTTTCTTTACTTCCCTTTTTTAATATAAAACAAAATTAATCAACTTCGCTTTTATTTAGAAATGATAGTAATATTCTTAAAATTGTTTTAAAACAACACTTTCTTCATTAAAAAATATAAAACAATTTTTTAAGATGAGATATTAAAAAATATAAGATATATTGAATCTTTTAAAGTGTAGTAAATGAAGTTTTCTTCAAAAATACCTTTAATTGGATGTATAATTAATAAATTTTTTTATTTGAGACACTATTAAATAATGATAAATATAAAAAGAATGTGTAATTTTAAAGATAATTAATTAACTCATAGGAAGTATAATTTGATTAAAACTTCTTTATAATATTGAAGAAAATGAAGATGTAACTTTTCAATTTTACATTTCTTTACAATTAATATTCATAATAAATTGTTGCTTAGGAATTCAAATGACAATAAATAAATAAAAAGAAATTTTTTAAAAAAAAGCATTAAATACTCTAATTTTATTTTATATTAAGGATAAAAAAAAACTTTCAAATTTTATTTTATATTAAGGATGACAAGGACTACATGACAAAGAGAAAAGCTTGTGAAGTTCGTTCATTGATTATGGACACCAAATGTTTTGAGAATTTATCAAAAAGAAGAAAAGTCAGCATCAGGTACTTAAAAAGTGTTGAAAATTCTCAGCTTCAAATTGCAATCGGCAGGCCTAAATTTGTCGCCCAGTCATTCTATGATGGCTCCATAGCATATAGCAAAAACGAGTTCATGACTAATGACAACACTTTGCATTTGTCAAAATAAAACCCACAATTTTCAATGCAAGATCATTACATCTACCAACCCCAGAGAATATGTACATTGGTAAGCAAGAGGGGGGGGGGGAGGAGAAAGCCATGTGTGAATGCCAAGCCACAATGTCAGCCATCTAATAATTGAACTGAGCAAAATAATATACTGTACAATACATATCAGCCCCCAATTTTTAAAAATAAACAAATTTTAGCCAGTTAGCCTAACATGTACAAAAGCTTGGTCAGGAACCAACTATTCTTGATTCAGCAGCTAAAGTGAGTGAGAAACTTTGGTCAGTAGTAATTACGTTTTGGTTATCAATAATTTTCAACATAGCCTAAGGAAATATTTCTACAAGTATAAATATTTCTACAAGTATAACTGCAAAGTGCTTAATCCAAAGACTATGTTTTCCTCCGTTTATCAGCTGTGCTACAAAGAAAATTTGAAGGAAGCTGAACCTTATTGATCCCGGACTCTGAAGATGATGTGGAACTGGAACTACCATCGTCAGAATCGGAACCATCCACTGGATTTTTATTCAATCGATCAGATGAATTTCCTGGTTCGGGAAACCATTTTCTTTTGAGAGATCTGATCATGTCATTCACTCCCACAGGGCTAGCACTGCTTTTCGGCTTCAATGGTACTGATAAACTCGAACGCCCATTATCAACCGCTGCTGCAATGCCATGAGTTGCTTCCTTTCTATTCAAACTTCCACTTATCATACAGTAGTAGTTGTTGTCGTCGTCATCACTGTCTTCGATCTCGATAACTACTTTTTGTGATCCCGAACTTGCATTAGCTGGCAAAGAAAAGATACGTTAGAACTACATACATGAGAAAAAAGAAGGTTTGCCAAGAAATTGAAGAATATTAGATTCTACAAACGGAATACATTCTTGGTTGTTGCTTCTAGACATTACGGAAATTCCAGCCTTAGATTCTCCCGATGTATCATGTATAACCCATGTAGCTAAAAGAGATGCATGCTAAATATCCGCACCTGATTTTGGAGTGTGTGGGGATTGTCCAGCACTATCATCAGCTGTGAGATGGTTATTTCCACAATCATCTTTATCTTTCTTTCTTTGAGATGGAGAAGTGTCTGAAGCAGTATTTCCAGACTCATTGTTATGCATATCAACTCTATTCTTTTCCTGTTTGTCCATGTCTTCAATACAAACCCCTGGGTAAGTAAGCATCATTAAAATATCAGAGACTATCCACAAGCAGGACTCTCATGACTAAGCTTTCAGGTCAACAACAGAGGCAACCTGAATCCTAATCTCCCAAAATAAGTATTCTTACTTGCTGTCATTCTTCCAATTCATTTGATCAAAAACAAAGCCACAGAAGGCATAAAAGAAGAGAGCAAGTTTAATTGATAATCGATAATAAGTGGTATAGAACATTCATGGCTAAGAAATGCACAGTATATCAAAATTCACGAAAATATTTGCACAAAGCAAATTTCACAGATTTGAAGTACAAAATCACATCAGTTTAACTGAGGCAAGAAGCATTGGAGTCATATAGAAAGCATCAAAGAAGAGAGCCAGTTTAATTTATAATCAATAATAAATGATAAGTACTATAGAACATTCATGACAAAGAAGCGCACAGTATATCAAACTTAAAAAAAAAACATTTGCACAAAGCAAATCTCATCGATTTGAATGCTCATTGTCTTCAGTACACACAGTCACAACAGCTCAATCACTATACATTGAAGAAAATTGAGAGTTAAGAGTACCCTATTCATATGCTTCAAATTTTTACACAGTACCACTGCAAATGGACTACACCTAAGATGGAGTGAAAATAAAATTCCCACTTACCCCTAAATTGAAACTTGCCTCAGTTCTGTTGGTTTTACCACATAAATGTATAACATGAGATCAATTACCAGTGTATTTTCACTAAAAGTGCGAAGGCAAATATCTTCTCCCTATTTTCCTTCAACATATAAAAAGCCTTTCTTGACGTTGTCCTTTAAACTCATAAACGCAAGGTTTGTTATACCACAATAAAAAAAATCTTACTAGTCTCAACCCCATGCACTTGCATAAGAATTATTTTTTAAAAAAATATAATACAGAATTAAATAACTAAATTAATTGTAAGGAAAGACAACAATCAAATTAAGAATAATATATGAACAATAAATAGTAATCGCTCATTCTACTTTCATATAACATAGCGATCCTTCTTGATCAATGCAATGCACCGCATAGACACAATAACTAACTAGTCCATACATACGTCATGTTTTCTTTAAACTAGTCACAAGTATGTTATATCTTGCCCTAATAAAGTAAGAAATATAAATATGCAACACATGCAGCTACCAAAGTGATATTTTTAATCAGAAAACATTAATAAATTGAATCCATCTCAATCATAAACTTTCGAAGAAGCATTAGTCATGCATATCCAAGCAGCAAAAAGAGATGGGAGCTAAATTCAAGTATTCTCACTCACCGTCATTCTCCCAACTAATTTTACCAAAAACAAATCCTTAGAACAATTAAAAGAAGAGAGCCAATTTAATCGATAATGATAATTAATAATAAGTACTATAGAACATTCATGACCACGAAATACACAGTATACTCACGTTCACAGAAGCATTTGTGCAAAACAGACTTGAATGCTTCTTCTCTGCAGTAAACAATCACATCAGCTTAACAGCTATTTCTTCAAAAGAATTGAGTGTTGAGAGTACCCTACAGTTATGTTGCAAGTTGTCTGATGTGTAGAATAGGAAAGAATAGAGAAGAATAGGAGAGAGACGGGAGAGATAGAAGGAACGAGAGAGAATTTTTGAACAGTACTCGGAAAATATTATTTCAAGCATACGGAACAATTACATAGTCTCTTTATATAGGTTCCCCTAGGGTGCTGAATAGGATTAACGGTCACAGTCTAATGGTAACTAACCATTTCTGAATTATCCTCTAATTATACGCTCAAGAACCCTTGACCTCAAGGGTTAGAAATGACAAAACTAGGGTGCTGTTTCTGTAACTGAAACAAAGAAATCCAGCTAGCCTCTTTATCTGGGAGGTTCTTCCATTTCACAAAAACTTCTGTAATAATCCTTCCTTTTCTTCTACCCCTCCATTCATTCAATATTTTTCCTGGAATCAAATCTGAAGGAGATTTTGGCCAATCAAAGGGAGGTGCCGCTGCTTTACCGAAGGATCAGGGCATGATTTGAGTAATGAAACATGAAAAGTGGAGTGAACCCTTGATTCTGGAGGAAATTCCAGCTTATATGCCACTAGCCCTACCTTCTTACAGATTCTATAAGGCCCAAAATATCTTGGGGCTAATTTCTGAGAGCTTCTTGAAGCTGTAGAAATCTGATGATAAGGCTGTAATTTAAGAAATACCCATTGTCCTACCTCAAACTCTATCACTTCTGCGTAAATCTGCTTTCTGCTTCGTTCTATTCACAGCCCTATTGAGATGATATTTCACCATTGCTAAAGTCTCTTCTCTTGCTGAAAAAGTTCTGTCAACAGCTTCCACTACCACATCTCTAGGCAAATATGGAATATGCATAGGAGGAACTAGTCCATACAACAATTCATAAGGAGTAGCTTTTGTAGAAGTGTGATAGGATGTGTTATACTACCACTCTGCTAAAGAAAGCCATTTGTGCCACTCCTTAGGTCTTTCCCAACACATACACCTTAGATAATTTTCCAAACAACGATGAAGCACCTCTGACCACCCATCCATTTGTGGGTGATACGAGGAGGTAAGCTTTTGTTCCACTCCCAAAACCTTCAAAACTTCCCTCCAAAAATTACTGATAAGGAGGAGATCTCTATTGCTAATAATTTCAACCAGTGACCCATGCAACTTGTACACATGGTCTAAAAATTGCTGTGCCAAGGTAGATGCTGTAAAAAGATGAGATAAAGATAAAAAGTGTGCATATTTACTAAAATGATCAATGGTCACCCAAATAGTGTCTTTCCCATTTGATTTGGGCAATCCTTCTATAAAATCCATAGTCACACTCTCTCAAACTCAACTTGGAATAGGTAAAGGCTATAGCAACCCTGGATAAGCCACTAATTCAAACTTACATCTTGACCAAGTATCACAGTGCCTTACAAACTCATTGATGTCATCAAATAATTTTTGCCACCAAAATAACTTTTTGACTGTTTGATAAGTAGCTTGTACACCTGAATGTCCTCCTTGTGGACTTGTATGAAGCCATTCCAATATTTTCTGCCTTAAACTAGGAATATTTCCCACCACTAATCTGCCATTCCTTCTTAAATGCTGACCATCACAGGGATAGTTGCCTTCTCCATCTCCCTTCTGTTGCAAATGAGCTTTTAAAGCTCACAAATCAACATCCTCATCCCAACTCTTTTGGATTTCCAGAAAAAGGAAATCTGAACAAGTCTGCAAAGATACTTCAAAAAACTCACTTTTTGGCATCCTTAAAAGAGCATCAGCTGCATTATTGTCGTTGCCCCTTCTATAATGTATTTCATAATCGTACCCCTTAAGTTTAGTCACCCAATACATTTGAAATGCAGTTTTAAGCTTCTGATCTAACAAGTATTTAAGACTTTGCTGATCAGTTTTAATGATAAACCACCTTCCTTCAAGATATTGATGCCAATGTTCCACAGCTTGTACCACCCCCAACAATTCCTTCTTATAGATAGAGAGATTCAGATGCCTAGGAGCCAAAGCCTTGCTAAAAAAGGCAATAGGTTGACCCTTTTGCATCAGAACAGCACCAATGCCTGAGCTACAAGCATCAGTCTCAACCACAAACACTTGCGAAAAATCTGGAAGAGCAAGAACAGGGGCTGCCACCAGTGTTTTTTTTTATCAACTTTTTGAATGTAACAGCAGCCAATTCTGACCAATGAAAATTATTCTTCTTGAGCAGTTCAGTTAGGGGCTTAGTTAAGGAACCATAACCCCTAACAAACCTCCTATAATAACCCACAAGTCCCAAAAATGATCTTAGTTGTTTTACTATGGTTGGTTCAGGCCAATACATGAGTGCTTTGATCTACTTGGGATCGGTTGAGACAACTCCTCCACTTATAATGTGTCCCAAATATTCTACTTGTGTTGCAGGGAAAGTACACTTGCTTTCCTTCACAAAAAAAAGAGAAAAACAATTTTTCCTTAGAATTTCCAGAACCAAACACAAGTGTCGTGTGTGAGATTCTAAACAGGGACTATAAATCAAAATATCATCAAAGAAAACTAAGACAAATTTTCGTAAATACTCCCTGAATATACTATTCATGGCACCCTGAAAAGTTGTGGGTGCATTAGTGAGCCCAAAAGGCATCACTAACCACTCATAGTGACTTGAATGAGTACGAAAGGCTGTTTTATAAATGTCTATTGGCTCCATCCAAATCTGATGATAACCAGCCGTTAGATCCAGCTTAGTGAACCATTTAGTAGCCCTTAATTCATCCAAAAGCTCTTCCACAAGCGGAATAGGGTATTTATTCTTGACTGTCCTCTTGCTAAGTTCTTTATAATCGATGCACATGCGCCATGATCCATCTTTCTTTTTCACCAACACAATTGGTGAAGAAAATGGTGAGCTACTTTCTTGAATGATTTGAGATTGTAACAGCTCCTTCACCATGTCTTCAATGGCATTCTTTTGAGCTACTGGATATCGGTAAGGCCTTAAATTGACTGGATCAGAACCTTCTTGTAAAATAATAGGATGATTATGGCCCTTTCTCAAAAGGGGAAGAGAATTAGGCTCCTTGAATACATATGAAAATTCCAACAACAATCCTTGAACAGCTTTTTCAGAACCATTCTCCCCTTGCAATTGAAAATAACGCAGCTCTTCATCCTCCTTTTCCACTAATTGCAACATAAATATCTGTCCTCCAGCCTCTAATTTATTTTCAATCTTTTTAAAATCAACAATTTTACACCTTATAAATCCTTGAGACTGCAATTTACATATTTTCCCATTATACCACAAGGTCATGGACAAATTGTCATAATCCCAATAAGCCTGATGGATGGTTTTAAGCCAAGATAAACCTAAAACCATGTCATAGGTCTTGACTTCCATTATCTAAAAGTCTCCTTCAAACTCCTCACCCTGCATCTTCCACTTCACCCCCTTTAAAATCCCATATGGTTTCAATTTTCCACCCCCTG